GTGACCACCGCGCTGCAGTCTGCAGGTCAGGCTTTAACTCGCACACACCCTTTATAAAGGTCACATATACCGAGGCATTCTTTATTTCGGAGTCGACTAAATCATAATTTTTCACTCATTCCTTAAAAATCGGCGTCGGGATGTGATTGATGCTGATGGTCTATCATCAACCTATCGGCCTGTCTTGTTTGATATCCTTCAGGGTTCCTCCCCGGGACCGATTCTCTTTGCTGTCTTCGTAACATCTGTGGAACTCTCTACCTGATAGTTTCGCTATAGTAATCTGTACCACCTCTACACACCACACTATTGATTTTCGCCAATTGCACATTATTATCAACTTATATACTGTTTACTTTTTTGTTATAGTAATTGATTCTTTATTATTTCTTTTCTTTGGGTTAAGCTTTATTAATTTGCATATTTTTCTTCTATTATTTTGTAGATATTGGAATTATTGTATTGCTCCTGTACTTACATTTAAGCCTTACGGTACTTACACCGAGTCATAATCAATAAAACCTAGTTACAATCAATCTTTTTTCCTACAAACAAATAAAGTGTTAGTTTGACATAGTGTTGCAAATACACCAAAATGCAACCTCAATATTACATAATCAAAGTCTCTTAATCCCAGTACTTCATGATGATATAGATTGTGTTTTTTGCCTTCATGTGATGGTTCACGTTTAAAATTACTCGTATTTTATGAATCAGATCGAGTCGTCGTCATCATATACCAATACTGAATCATTATGGCATCTTTCACATCGTCCAAATGTCAATGTAAAGCTCCTCTACCGTCACAATTGCTATACGTCACGCGGGAACATAGTACTTGAATTCATTGTCTAAATTTAGAGCTTGCTGTGTTTTGAACTATGTGAAGAGAATGACAGATAAGCTCGCAGCTTTGAATTCTCGATCGATGATATTTTTACAAACGATCGATCGGGCTATTGCTTCGTGCGTGTTGCGATTTGAATTCTGGAAATTCTTTCGAACCCCTTCAGAGGAATCTATAAATAAGCAGCCTCCGAATTAATTCATTCATCATTATGGTGCATTTTCTAAAAATAAAATTTTCACTCGAATATGGCTGGATGGGACGTGCATTGCTGCAGTTCTATAAATGACCGAAGTGTCCGCACTTATGGCGTGCAATGTTCGTCAAGGCCGATGCCAAGTTGACAAAATAACTGACTGGTTAGTTTAGCTTCATTAAATGTGAACGCAGATGAGGCTCCAGCTTAAAGATGTGTATGTATATATACAGTACGCGCATGTGTGAGTGCGTTTTCATGTGCGCGTGTCTTTGAGCTGAGCATTGCCGCGAACTTTGACGCTCATGATCTCGTTACAATGTTTAGAATTATGCCCTGCGGGAAGCTTTACGTATACATACAGATGCTGCCACTGCTGCTTTTCCTGCGCTACCAGAATTTCACCCTCTCTTACTTGCTCGAGTGTCCATGACAGCATATATTCACCTAACTTATTTATTATACTATGACCACATGTTTATACTTTAATTCGCATATAGAATTTTTTCCCTTTACTTGCTTTGTTGACGTCGTGGATTAACGTCAACAGTGTATTTTAAGATTGTGACCCAGCAATCGTTTAATCAAATTGATGAATTTTTCATAAACGTGCATCGCAAGTTCAATCTGTCAAACAAACTTTCGTTATAAAATTATCGAGGTCAAACGAATGTCAGATAAAATTAATGCCAATTGAATTTTTCTCTATTCAGAACGTTCACTAACGATTGATTAGATTTTAAACATTGAAATGCTAAATGAAACCAATAATTCTACGGCGAAACACGAAAAACACGACGAACGGGTCAATATATAATAGCGTTCAAACAAGTTTAGCCGATTCACCGACGATGGAATTATTATAGAGGCAGGCAGGCAGAAATGATTCGCGGCTCCGTGAGCAGCTCGCATCGGCAGACAGGTATAGTGCAGCGGGCCGCGCGCTATTCGAACCACACACGTTTAAACGATATCGGTGGTGCGAGCGAGCTGCTCGCTCGAAACTTTCATAATATATGCTACGAATGAAAAGTAATTGGCGCGTTTAGAATCTTTCACGCGCAGATGTGCGCGCGCGAGCTTTTCCTCGCGTTTGTTACTCCCTCCCCGACTCTTTCCCGTTAATGCAATATGATGGTGTGTATAATGCCGCGCCTCTCTATACCTATATATCATCACGTGTATACTCGCTCTTTCTCGCGTACACACACAAACTATTACGTAGGATGTGTAAGTTGAAAATGAGTTTAATTGTCCGTCAGTCTTGGAGCTTTGCTACGTAAACTGCTAGATTTATAGAAATATTATTAGCAACGTTGAGAAACAGCACCGGCTGCGAGAGAGCTTTAATGAAGTGGCAGATAAAATTTCGCAGGCCCCGTGTTACGGAGCTTTCTTGCAAAGGCTGCTCCAGAACTATTTTGCGCGGGTAAACGAGCGATATTTATCCCCTCGAGACGCAGTACGCGCAGCTGTAATTGCTACTTTGCTCTCTCGTGCCGTGTATAGCGAACGGTCTTGCAGCTCATTCGATTATTCGCAAAGCTCTGCGTTTTTGAACAGCTCCGCGTACGCAGGCTAATATGCTGTTGCAACTGAGCTTGGGCACGAGAGAGAGGGAAAGAAAATGAAATTAGTGAACGAAATAGCTTACAATTCGCTTTACTTTGTGTGCATGTATAATCTCGATATCTGTGCTCGAGCACATTACTCGAATTTCAAAATTGTTCATCGGATGAAAATTAATTTCTGTTCCAAAAATACGAAAATTCTGGGATCGCCCAGGCGGTCTATATATAAATAATAATGCAATATGTACACGCGGGATACCGCGCGTCGTATGACGCATTTACTCGTGCGATTGCCCAGCTCCCTCCCACTCTAGCTCGCCCCTCGCACTCTGCCTAGCTGCTCGTATCAATTTGTAAATTACGACAAATGTGTATGCTCGCGCACGAACTCGCGCTATACACTGCATCGTGTATACGGAAATGCATTACAGAAAGGGACGCACAGAGGAGCTTGCGCACCCTGATAGTCGAGTTTGTAATATCGCGGAGCTCCATATGAGCGGGCTATAGGAGCAACTGGCTCGGTTTACTTAACCCCCTTCACCTCGCCATCCATACATGCTTATTAATGTGTATCGCATGATATAGTAAACTCGTTTTAATTGAGCTTTAATTACTCGTACAATCTCTGCTGCCGCATCCTCTGTATTTTCGAAAAGCCATTTACTACATTAATATGTGCGACGTTACGAGCGCGCGCGAGGCAATGTAAGTCACTGCGGAGGCTGCTCAAATGCTGTACTGCCACTGCAGCTATGTGCTGTACACGAATGCCTTTAACTGCGCCAACATGTGTGCATATACACGTGTCGCACTTCCGACTAGTGGAACTTTTCTTACTCGCCATAACGCTCGGCGAGCTGCGAGCTTGCAGAGAGAACATTTCGGTCTATTTTTCAAAGAACAGAGAATTGCGTGGGAGAGAGAGAGAGAGATAAAAGTGTCTTTCTCTCGATGTATCGTTGCTGGCGTGCAGCAGATTGTTGATAAAAAGAAAAAGTTGCCGCGTTGAATTCGAAATTATTCCGTGCGCTGCTCCGGGAAAATTCCGACACACTTTTTAATGCGAGTGTGCGGTCGTGTGCGACTATAGAAATGCAAGAAGCAGTTCAGCGGCTCTGTATAACGTGCCATGCGCGAAAGACTCGAGCTTTTGCCCGAGCTCGAGGAATATTCTTAACCCGATATATACAACGGTAACATTTGTTACGGGCTTGAATTTCAGATGGACTGGCGCGCTGCTGCTACCTTTTCTGTCGCTCTTTCGTTCTACTGCATGTATACACGCGCGTTTGCGAGAGTCTTGTTTTTCGATAAAAATTCGAACGTCGAGCTATCCGTGAGCAGTGGCAGCGGATGAATAATGGTTGAAAAAAATAAATGGGTAAAAACGTTAAATACCACTCGATGCGAGTCGGGGAAAAATGTCGAAAAGCATGGCACTGCGTAATACTCATCGGTATGCAATTTTGCGGATTAATGCGCGCGTTTTCTCGTTTTTGTATTCCTTTTCTTGGCTGTTGGAAATAAGCTGAAGCTTTCAGCCGATGATTCGTCCCTAAACGCGCACAGCGCATCTCGTGCGTGTGGATGTGTACATTTTTCATCGCTCGAGCGCATATATAGCTCTCGATCGACGAACAACGCAGCGGGGAAAGAGGTCAGCTCGATCGGCCGCCAGCGCCGCTTTAGAAGCGTATTCGCGCACTGCGACGAATAAAATGAAAAGGAAGAGTAGTGCAGCTTCGCAAAAACAAAAAATCGCTATCAAGAGAGAAACAGAGACAGGACAATGTATGTATAGTCAAGGAGGCTGCCAGCAGCGTCATTGCATACACTGGTCGATTTATTTATTTTATTTCATTTTATTTTTTCATTTTTTTTATCGCCGTCGTCGTTGTTATTTTGCTACAGCGGCAGCAGCTCAGCGGCTTTGGATAGCAGTAGTAGGGAAAAGCGCGTTCGCTTGTTGCGCGTTTCGCTCACGCTTCGCCGAATACGTTTCAATTCAGTAGGTTTCACAAGCAGTATAGAACTCACGTCTGTTATATAGCCCTGGTATTCCAGATTGTAAAATTGATTATGGGTTTCCTCGAATACTCCGCGATCCGCAACTGCGAGTTTATTAAGTGCCCCGGCGCTTTTGAATTTGCGCGCTCAGGTGCATGCCAGACATTGTCGCGTGGCCGAGCCGCCGTTCATTAATGTATGCAAGCGCTCGAAGCGATGCTCCGGCGATATTTCATTTTTGGCCAATCGAGACAAATTATCGCCCGAAGTACGATGCTATAATCTTTCGGGATATAATTTCATAATCGTCGCGATGCTTTTTTCTCTTGCAAAATAAAATAACTAATGTTTGATCCATGTCGGCATTTTGTTTCAGAAGGCGATGGGCTCGGAAAGGTTCAGCGCCAGTACAGAAGCAGCCACAGTCGGTAAAAGCTGGAACGGCCAGGGCAACAACACGAGGCATCAAGCAGAGAGGCTGCTATTCGGTCAATCGCAATTAGACGGCTTCACGGGCGAGGAAGCGCGAAGCGAGAGCAGCGTCAACGGCGGTGGCAATTACACCGACCAGATGTAGGCGCGCAACGGCCTCAGGTATCCTGCTAGGGGAGGGGCCCACACACCTAATACGCGCGTGGGCACCGACGACAAAGAACGTCTCGACTCGAGCCAATCGCCCAGAGACGAACGAGAGAGAGAGAGAGAGAGAGAGAAGCCGACAGAGAGGACCATAGACAGGAGAGATCATTAGAAAAATTGCAGAGCCGGCGAGAGGAGATTCGCGCAATACGATACCGTCTTGCTCGCGTGTGTGAGTGTGTGCCAGTCTTTATGTGACAGACGCCGCCGCCTCACCACGACGTCCAGGAAACGGTTAAGCGTCGTCCTCCACCCCACGTGGCCTGCGCTATTACCTGATAAGGTATATATTCATGAGACACATCTTTCCTTTCCCTCCATTGCTTTATCTATGATTTACGGCACGATGAAAAGCTTTGAGAAATTATAATTGACAATTGAGCGCGTAAAAAGCGACTAGTACAGATTTACGATTCTCAAAGCAATAAGACCGAGGATAAGCTTGGGAAATAGTGAAAATTTTAGCCTGCTGGAGTAAAGAAGCTGCGGGAAGGGGGGAGGGTCAGGTTGTTAGGCGAGCTCAACTTCATTCTCGCGCGCATAAACCATTGTTATAAAACGAACCACATCTTGGATATAGTTTACGACCCTTGATGTAAGTTAGCAATATATATACACAAGCTGCGCGTTTACGATATAATACTATACGTGTAGTTTAGCTTTTACGAACAAGAATGTCAGAAATTTATAAAAGTTCGTCAAAGTTTTCTCTCAACTTGATACCTTGCAATGTGCGTGAGAGCGCACAGCGTCTGTGCATGCCTACGTACGATATAATGGATGAGCTCCAACGACATTATACAAGCATTATATAAGTACATTTTTTCGAAAAAGTTGAGCCAAGTATTTTTGATGGCTTTGTTGTTCTTTTGCTTTCGACTGTGTAAAGTAGCAACTATAGCTGCTTGAAATTTATCGCGATATTGCGTCGCTCCTGTGCGCTCGCAAAGGCTTTTCCATTGCATTATTGAGGTACGAAAATCCAAAGAAATTTTGAGACGCATAACTCGGCCGGGCTTTAAAGAAACAGAGCAACCGAGCAGGAAAATTCTGGCTAAATTGTAGCAGTAGAGAGCAATAAACGTGCGTATACGTGTATATTTATAAACTTTTTTTTCATTTCGCGGCCTGTAATAACTTTGAGTGCTTTTGAAGTAACTGCGAAAAACACTTAAAACTTATTTTGCGAAAACAATGTTTTTACCGCAGCAAGATGTATTAAGAATTATCTCAAAAACAATAACTTAGAAATGTGTCACGAAAATAAAAAGTTTTATGCCGAGATGACTCTCTCGTAATACCTTTACCCTTGCAGAGTATCGGGGGTATTAAAAGTGCAGAAAACACTAAGGACAGTTGGCACAGCCGTTGCCATCGAAATCCGCAAATTGGCGAAAAATATCGAAAGTATACGTTCGCTTTCAGGATCGAAAAATTTATTCATAACAAAAAAGTTTATCGCGTTTTGAGAGTAGAAAATCATTTTTGATGTGCACATTATCCACAAAGATTATAGAAAAAAAACTAATACTATCTTTTAATTTCTCGGCTATACTTTCCAAAGGTTATCGATTTAATAAGGTTCACAGTAAGATACCCGATGAGAGATTATTTTGAAATCAAACTTACTTTTCACTTACTCCTCAATTATTTACTGCATCAGGCTTGAAAGACATCGATGTAGTAAGTCGAGGGTAAATTGTTCGACTTAATGATAGGCTAACTCTTGAATTATGAATACTTTATGTTACTCCTATGCCGGCTTTCATCTCTATCAAAGCCGTCAATTACTTCTGGATGAACGACCATTACACCGTGATCAATTAAACTTGAACAACAATTTGTTAAATTTTCTTTCAGAATGTAATGATTTTAATCGATGTAGCTAAAACGTATAATAACGGCGAATCTCAATAAAATATAATAGAGTTTGAAAGAAAACTTGGCAAAATTTACAAGAGTATAATAAAAAAAGCGTTTACACAGCTTTTCGAAATGAAGCTTTCATAAAATTACATTTTTACATGAACTTCGCTGTCTCTGAAAATGGAATCAAAAATCAACAATTGACTATAAAACTCACTTTTCGCTTTATTACTTTTTTCTTGCTCGGTAACATTTAATACAGTCGCTGTTAGTCTGTTATCGAGACCACGAATATATTACGTAACGATTGATTTTTGCTCGAAGAATTTCACATCAATTTCCGCAGTCATAAACCGCGCATGGCAAAATAATTGATTTATTCTATTCCTTTCATCAGCTTTTGTGCATCAGCCTCAGCGTAGTCTCGTTTTCCTCAACAAATCTGATACGTCTCAAATAGCTTTTTCCAATAATGTGTGCAACGAGTTCAGTTCTGTATAATGCATTGCTATAGGTTTCTATGTCGAGTCACGCAATTACAACTACCATAAAACACGCTATATGTTAATGCTTAAAACATAAACTACGTAGCAGTTTAATTGTTCGATGCAGTAAATCATTATTAATCTTGGCTATTTAGAGCATATTAGAATATTTTTAAAAATTATCCGACTCAATTTTCCACTCCGCCAGTTCTTTTTTCGCGCCAAGTCCATAAAATATACGTATATCTTTGGACAATGAGTCCTTAGCGTAACATCTGTTATAAAGCTCTCTTGGTTCTGGATCGTTCATCATTCTCCGTAAGCCGCTCCAAGCCAGCGTGAGCGTCTTGCGCGCGAGTTTTTGTATACCGCGCACGTATATACGTATATATTGCGAGCGCACACGAACGCGCGACACAAACATTTATACCATACGTGTCAGAAGCGAATGCATGTATATATAAATACACATCAAAATGAAGCTTTGGCAAGCTGCTGGCACTTTTCAATTATTCAATCGATATGACGCGCTCCTCTCGCCACTCTTCTTTTACTCCTCGACAAAAGTGACATGGGTGACGCGTAGCGCGAGTTTAGCTTTGGCCGCGTGTGCTGGTGCGACAAAAATCGATGACATGTCAGTTCTGTAGAATTGAGAATAGGCACCTCCTGCATGCATGCATGTGTTTGTGTGTGTATATGTGTTTACGCAGTGTAAACTCAAACGGAAATGTAGGTAGTTCCGTCGGAATATGTGGACCAGTAGGTTAAACTTTGGCTGCAGCGAAAGTATGAATGTTTTAAATATATTTGTACACACACGTCGAGCTTACAATTATACCCGTTCGCCTTTACTCTGGGAAATCGACGCTGAAGCAAAAAAAAAAAAAAATGAAAGCAAAATAGAGGCTGGCAAGAAAACAAAGAGATGTATCCGGGCAGATACTTTGTCGCTAGATGAAAGCTTTAAAGCGGCACAGTTCCTTTGTGCAAGCGTTAAGAGCTACATTAATGTACGCGCGAGTTAATGGTCGATGTACGTGTGGCTAGATCTATGTATATATAACTTGGGGGGGCAGAGGCTGCGCATTGCACACGGCTGTGGCAGTGCAGGTGTACGGCTGCACATCGTTGTATACGGCCCACGTTGCTACTGTTGCTTCTTATTAACGCTCACAAGCATAGTCCGGGTAACGGTAAAGTACAGCGAATGCCATGCCCCGCGCCCATACACACACACACACACACACACACACACACACACCGTCTTGATATACTCTCTGTGTGTGCGCAATTGAGAGGCGCTGCGTACACTCGGCGCTGCGAGCTGCGCTTATCATGCAGCTGATGAGTTATAGTTTTAATTGTGGAACACTTGTTGTTCTACTTTAATTGCACTTCTCCGCGCATTCGAGTGCAAGTGTGCAACTTTTCTTCACTTTTACTATATATTCAAAGCGTGTTCGCTCCGAAGCTCTGTGCACTGCGCACCCGCACAACTCGACGTGATCCTTATTTTTTATTGCGAAAATTTGAATTTACTATTTCTAAAACAAACGACTTATTGGCTTGGGTATAATTTGGCGCTCTGACAATTGTTGCTACCTCGAAATATTAAAATTCAAATTTCAAATACTTGTCAAACAATAGCTAGACACGATAGGAAAAACAATGAATATACAATAAGAGCGATTTAATAATTGCTGATTTTTCAACTATTTCATTTTTATTTTTATTTTGAAAAATTGCCCAAAACTCATTTTTAAGAAGTGAAGGCAAGCATAACATTATGCTTGTGTAATGTTTACAGAGCTGGAGAGGCGGCAGCAGCCGCAGCTGCCTCGGAGCTCTGAGGAGCTGGAGGATTTGCAAAAGCTGCTACACTTCCCGGAGGAGGTGGCGCTCAGATTGGCGGAGAGCGAGTACCAGCTGTTCAGTCAAGTGCCACCGGAGGAATATCTCCGTCACGTTTTGCAAGACCTAACAGCCGCTCAGCAGCGCCAGCAGCAGCAGCAGCAGCAGCAACAAAAATACCGCGAGGAGAGCGAAGCCGAGCAGCAAAATTTCGTTGGACCAAATTTTACCCACAGTTCGACGCAGACTGAGGATAAGGATTGTTGGCCTACATCCACGGCCTCCGTCACCGTTCAAAGCCTCATTGATCGTTTTTCCGACGTAAGTAAAATAGCGCGAGAGCTCGAGAGCAAAAATGTTAGTAGTAGCGCTCGATTTTAAGTCAGACGGCGAGACTTTACTTACCCTCTCTCCACTTTTCAGGTGAGCACATGGGCGTGTAACGTTGTTTACCATGGAACGACGACTGAAGAACGCCAAGCTCTGCTCTCGTGTCTGTTGAGAGTAGCTCAGACGTGTTGGAATATCGGCAACTTTAATTCCGCTATGGAAATAATTGCCGGTCTTAAGTGAGTATTAAATTTTATTTTACATTTTTAATTTTATTTTAGTTTTTCGAATATTTTTAAAAACTATGCGTGATATGCGCGAGTCACACATGCGGTACACATATCATACACAGTATCAGTACAGACAAAATGGACGAAAGCTAAATGAAATGAACTCTCCAACTTTGGTCGGAGTTGCGCAGAGTCGTGACGTGACAGACATAAGGTAAAGTGTGAGCAAAGCAAAGAGCTAAAAAAGCTCCAACTACTATAAAATTACATCACATTCCACGTGAGACGACGAAAATAGCTGAGGCCGGTGGGTAGGATATACCTCCATGTAGCTTTCACGAACCAGCATCGTAAAGAGTTGCTGAAGATCGTGGCTACCTGTGCACTTTCAGCTGCTATTGAACGTCAAATGTGAAAGTTTGGAAAACGAGGTTTGAAACTAGAGAAACCTGGCTATGACATTTAGACGAGCAAAAGTTATATTTTTCTTTCCTCGCTTTACTTTCTTTTTTTCGTCTTATTGTATAAATTCGAAAAGTTATTGCATTGAAATATGTGCAGGAAATTGTTGAATAGTACAATACTAAAATCACCAGCTACTAAAAACAATAAATTTAAAAAAGAAGTATTTTAACAAATCATTCATTTAATCGTTTATTATTATTATCATCATATCTTTTTCTAGTTCATGAGAGTCAATCCCTAAATCATCTAATATTTTTTCAAAAATTTTTCTTTGTGTTGATTAGTTTATCTCTATTCTAGTGCATATTTTTTAATTCGGCATCTACGTATCCATTTCAATTATTTTCCTAAAGATATTTCACTTTTTAAAAATGGATATATCAGAATGAAAATTATACTTTGAAAGGCATAAACGGTTTTATTTTGGACACAAAACCTTATAAAAAGCTTTCGAAATCATATTTAGTTTTCAGATACACAGAACAAAAAGCAAGATGTTAAACTTTTCATTTTTTTAATGAACATTGTACTGGCTCGTCATTTCATCTTTTACAATTATGCTTCATAATGTTTGTCTGTTGTCTCGACATAATTAAAACTTTCGTATAGATCATCAAGCGCAATTTCTCATTGGTATTGAAAAATTGCGGGAATCCAATTGTTGCATGTGATCAAATCGATTGAAATGTAAATTGACCCATATATAATGAGACACAAAGCTGTGCTACAGAAATTCCCATTAGTTGATTGCCAATATTTCGCTTGTAAAGGCATTTATATATTGCATAGATATTGTAACAAAGTTCACCGGGTCAAAAGTACTTCGGAACGTTGCTGGTCTCCCGGGAATTTGCACCGCTAGCATAAATACGTATATTCACTGTCTTGGTACTTGGTTTTTTTCTATTTGGAAATGCGACTTGCTTATCGTTCTGTGGTGACAAAATTTTTCTTGTTCTTTCTTTAATAATAGTTAAATTATATATTCTTAATCACACTTGACATTTAATGCAGTTGTGGTAAAACAGAAATATCTTTCGAAATAGTGTATGATAATAATATTAGTCTTATTTTTTGCCTGTAGATTGAATTTTAAAAAATCCTGTGAAATATTTTATAAATACTAAGTACTGAGGGGCATTGAATCTAGCCCTCGTATACAAAATGACTCCCTGCATAATTAACAGCGCTCTTGATTTTCTTTACCTTTTTGTGGAAATGAAATATTGCTTTGAGTTCAAGTCATGCAATTGATGATACCAACATTAGATTAAAAAAATATTTTTTGAATAATAAAATAGTATGTTCGTCAAAATTAAACATTCAATATTGATTCTATAGCTTGCACAATTTAAATTTCAAATTTAAAAGCAATTCTGATAACCATTTTTCTTAAATTATGTGCTAGGACTTATACAAATATTTTCATTTTGTCACTTGCAGTTTTGCAGATAAAGGGGTACTCGCCATCTAGTGGTGTAATGGTTAAATATTTTAAAATATTTTAAGCTGTCTGAAACCGCATTTGTGATTCCAACATTCAATTAGGTAGATACAAAATGAATATAAGTTCGGGACCCTAAACTTTTTTGTTGAGCTAACAAAATAGATTTCTGTTGTTATAAACAAAGATTAGAGTTAGCGCAGCTAAAATTTACATTTGACAATTAAAAATTTATTTTAAATATTACAAACATATTTTACGAGTTTTTATTTACTTATTACTTACTTGTTATCTACTTAATATTTACAAATTATTATGTTATTATAACGAGAACATAAGAACACATCTTAATAAAAAAAGAAAAGAAGGCATAATAAGAGGAAATTGAATAATTTTAAATAATGAATAAAATATTCTTTTATTGTGAAAAGTAAAATTATTGTACTACTTTTTTTTACTTAATTTTGAGAGTATATTTCTTGACCGCTGTAACACGAATTAAATTGATGCTCCGTAATTCAACACCTCAGGAGTATCGAGTACCCGTATGAGAGGAATTTTTCTTAAAATGCGTACTAGGAAGGGTATACTGTATTTTCAATTTGAAACTGAAATAAGCAACTCTAGGTTTAGCTGAACTGCCATGAACTTGTATGTAAGAGAGCCCAAATATTTAATCTACCAACGTGGACGCCATTAGACCGATACATTTCCGACAGGAATTTTTCTCACAGGATCAGGTCAGATATTATTATTTATTAAGGGATAAAAATGGCACTCACTTGAGTGGTGCCGAGAGTGAAAAAGGAACAGGCGACGTAGAAGTGAAGAAGAAAAAAAACGTGGTAATGAGATAAAGTAACAGAGAGACACAAAAGGACTTAACGGTGGAAAGAGCAAGAGACGAGATAGATAAGAAAAAAGAAAAGCAGAGACGCGCGGAATTGAAGGAGAGAAAAAATAGCGCTGGGTAAAGGAGAGAGAAAAAATCGAGCTTGGATTGAGACACTGAGAGGTGGCTGCTGTTGCAGCTGCCACTGCAACAACAGCAAAAGAATGTAAAGAGAGAGGGAGAGGAAAAAACGTTGCACAGCCGCGCGAAAGCTACAGGATTCTGTTTCATAGCTCGAGTAAGTCGTTACCACGCCATATAGAGGACTGACCTTTACACTAACCAAGCAAAAAGGGAGGTAAAATAAAACAGCTGTATATGGGGTCGGGGAAATGCAGGAAGGTAAAAACGCCGTTTGCGGAAAACAACTCGATTTTAAATCGTAGTACAATCAACTCGACCAACCATGTACTTCCAATGTACCTCGAGTTTTTCTTATCGCATCTCAGGTCTTTTATATTAGAAGGAAGTGCAGCCACTGCCTAATTTACGCACTTCACATTTATCGAATATATTTTATTCTTACGGTTAAATTGCAATTGTGGAATTCGTAAAATTCAATTAAACCGCCAAGTTGCATTTTTTATATGTTTGTTCGAAATGTTCACCAAACAAGCTAAAGAAAAAAGCTCTGGTATACACAATTGACAGAAATATTACTAGCAAGAAAATCATATAAATAAAACTCTTTGCGACACAGTTGGCAAAAGTAATAAAATAAAAGTCGTTAAAAAGGGACTAGGATGAAAAGTATAAATCAATTTGTTACGAGATGTCATAAACTCTCACTTCTTATATAAAAAATATAAAACATTATATAAGACCGGAGGCTAACCTAATTAGAAACCAAGTATTTTCTGTGGGAAAACCCAATTGATGCTAAATAACTATAACAGTAATAATCGGAAAAGATTTCTCAAACATTTTTTTCCTCGTTCATCATCCCCTAAAATTTGATATTTTTTAATCATGTTATCATCAATTAGATTAGATCTGATATTCAAAATGAAGATCCTGCAAATTCAAAACTTACGAGTTTCGCATTGCAAAATATGCGATCGTAAGTAAGAGTAAACGTGAGCATATCTAAATAAAGTGCTTTTACAAAGCTTCTGACGCTGCTGCGTGCTAGTTCTCTAATGAAATTTACTTATTCCTTTTTTTGTTATTCTACTTGTATACGTGTATGTTTGTGTAGATTTTTTTTCTCGCGCAGGGAAGTTAATCCATTTACAGATTTAACTTGTGAAATGAGTGAATCACATTGATATGTCGGACTCAAGTACAGTGTACCGTTGTTGCGTGGACTGGACATGTACCTCTCTACTAATACCGACTAAAATCGATATCCTCTTCTGCCACTATACTTGTTCTCTCGCGGCGAGAAGCTGGGAATATATGTTCTTCTTGGCTGTTGTTCTTATCTACACGCCTTATTCTAATCGCATCTGATCACCTTCGTCTAGTACTCTCTTCGACTATCAATCGTGTCGTAACTAATTGGGTGAAGGATACTGATTGCCAGTTGGGTTCAGCAACAAGCGTAAACCCACCTGAGGGCCTCCAAAAAAAGGTGTAGAATTCCTCTGATTCTCCGTAAATCATAAACACTAAAAGGTGACATGTTCATCATCCTTCACTGCAGGAGAACAAGTGGGGTAAGAGTCGTTTGTATTATTACCTAAAGCATTTGTAGCCAGTCAGTCGTTTATAAAGCGGTAGTGTACTACTTCATGGAGATATGCGAGTTGAGTCAGTGAGTTCACGGACCCTTTGTAGAGTTAGTCCATGGGACTTGTCATTTCTCTAGCGTCATACCAAATAGGGGCATCGTAAAGAAGCATCGAGTCTAGGACGCTACGAACATAATTTTGCAATCACCAGGTTTAATGATAGTCTTTTTCATTATCCTGCTTGTGACAAGGAACATTACAATGTTTTGGTAAGTAGAATTTATAGACCTAGATTAGTTGTCATTCATCTCCTCTTGACATGAGCTTGTCAGCCGTGCGCTATCTGGCGAATCCAACCAGACGGAGGGCGCTTCCCTTGCGAGGATCTGCTCCTAGGCATACCTTCCTGCATCTAGATTGCTGTGCTGGTTTATTCACGTCCGATATCTAGGTGTGTGATAACTTGAATAAAGCCTATACTGGTTGCATAAGATCGTCGTATAGATCATCAACATCTATTTCACCGACTGAATGCTAAGGTTTTGGGTGATCTCGCAGTGTTTGAGATTGAGAGTGAGTTGGGGTATGGTGATAATCATTGTGGACGTAGCGGGTGCTTCCTGGCGAGCAGGTAGCTTGGGCTCGGTCCACTGCAACTGGGTATTTAGATGTATAATCAGACCAAAAATCGAGCTGCAACAAGGACAAACAATACTTATTTACGAAGTCAAAATAATTTGTAACAAAAATATTAATAATGTAACTTGTGTAACAAATCAAACCTACATTTTTATATTATTTCTCAATTACTTCGATACTCTTTAATTGGCTGCAATATATTGAGAAAGATCTATGAGAGTTAGCTGCATATCACAAACTCGAAAAATTATATGCCTCTACAAAAAAAGTTCCTTTTACTTTTTTACATTATTTAAATTTCTCGACTGATATTTCCATTTTCATTTTGAAAAATGTCTTTTTCATATCCACTCCTGAACATCCAAAAGGTGCTATGGATTTTTGTTGACAGTCATACTACTATTCAAAGCTGCAATTCCAGACTCTTATTTATTCCCCCTGTTTTTTCTCATGTCAAGCCTCGTAAGCGCATGAATGCACGGAAATATGTAAATGAACTTATAAAAAATTTAAATAGAGAAACACTGAAAATGCAATAACGGCTTAACGGAAAATGTTTAATAAAAATTTCACGCTGAAAAAAGGGCAAGTGGAAAATGGTTGGCAACATTATTAGATCATGGTTCATATTGCTGTTTTGTGTTCTTTGGCTGCTGGCTGAATTTATTTACACAGTGAAGCAGCAGCACATATACCTAAATTAAACGAGTATATGCGCACGTTTTCATATATTCACGGAGCAGAAGCAGCAGCCCCTATGGCCTCAGTTCCTTTTGCTTCACCCAACGCCTGCAACTCTCTAAAGTTTTTGTCTCAAATACGATGCATGAGCTTTTATTATATATATCGAGTCGTGAGGCACATTTTAACACGTTTATATGCATATTACTTAATTGATTGTTATAATAAACCACCCATACCCCGAAGATAAAATTTATTTACGCGAAAGCTTTTACGTGTGACACTGCAGGATGGATTATACTTTTATTTTTCATATATGATATGATAAAGTACGTGCTCGTTATATAACGAACGTAAAAGTTTTATAAGTCGTAGCTTACCAACGTATTTTCATTAAATGGATCGGGACTCGTTTACTCGAAGATGATGTTTTATAGGAACTACCTCATTTCTATAAAAAAAAAATACACATTCGATGAATAATTGAATGCTAAACTTAATTCACGAATATAAGTAATAGTACATGAAAAAATAAGAAAATTTACGGCGCACCTGAAATTGTTTTTGTAAATGATCTATAGTATAATCGTTTGAGAATAAATTCAAGTAGATAAAAGTTCTTGTGAAAAATATTGCTAAGTTTTAGTCGCCTCGCTTTGGCGCATGCTGCTCCGCGCATGTTCACAGATCTATTTTGATAAATCTACTCTTTATATAAACAGCTTTTGTGCACTGTTTTGAATTAAATTTCAATACTTTTCATGAATCATTTTAAATTAACCTTTAAAATATCGTTAATGGTTATACTTAGAAATAAACCTAATTACGCGGTATGTATTATTAACAACGATATTAATTTGCAAAAACCTACTTCAAGGTTCAAAATATTTAAATTTGCTTAAAGAATTAAATTTGCTTGTTTGTCACTTCAAACGATATCTTCCTGCTTTATTATAGATTCGCATGATAACTGCTGCTACTGCTGACAAGAGACTGATAACTCGATCAAATGATCGAGTTATTAGAATTGACTCTTCTGAATAAATGAATTATTTCTCCTCAATTATTGGAATAGAACCTCCTCAGTTATAACAGCTAAATTTCTTCAACACTTCAATTGCGAGAAATATTTTTCATAGTTTCACGTTTAATCGGAGTTATCAAAGAAAAAGTATAAACGTATGAATTAAAACGTAAAAATTATTGTAAAAAATAAAATGATAAACTTATAGGTTTAAGCGAGTTATAAATAAACAAAAGTAAAATTCGGAAAAATGATTTGTTGGAAAAAATATTGTATTGATAATTCTGACTAGTTGCTGTAATTTGGTATTATCAAATTTATTAGTTTTTAGTCTATATACCACATGGTGCTTGTTTCGATTAAGTTCCTGGTAGAATACCTAAGCGAATTTCAAAACGAAACGCTGTTCTTAATAACATACATGTAATAATAGAAGTCGACATCTTCACTACACAACTATGTCATATTCCATCAGCGCTAGCATTTTATTTGTTAAACGCTTTGACAATCTACTTTATACGTAAGCAGCGCGGGACATTTGTCCGCAAGTATGCACATTGCAGTCCCTTAAACATCTATAGACTTACTCGAGGGCATAGAGAGCTGCGCTGTACTACGCAAATTTCACCGTGAAGCATCCTCAAATGTATACGTTTATTAAGCGAAAGGATACGTCGGTGCGAGCCAAATTTCACTCGGGTTTCGCGCAAGATCGTCTCGTGCGCGTTTCCCTCAAGCCCTACCCACCCTACCCTCCGTTTCTTACGCTCGTGATATTAAACTGCAGTTTATTCTATACCTGTGTAAACTCTTACGAGAGCTTGAGCAATATCTATATCATATGATGTGGGTAAATATACACGACAAGCTTCGTACGTTGTAGAAAGGAATAATTCAAACATAAATGCTTGCGCAAGCCTGCGTACTCTGGGCACGTTGTTTTGTTGAACGATGAAACCGGAGTAATTTTCTTTTGATTAAAAAGCTGCAACTTTTTTGACGCCATTTTCTGGATTTTACTGTGGAACTGATTCGAAAGAGGCTTGAAATTTACAAAAAATTCGTGTCCTGAACGATTTACAATCCGTTTAACAGTGCTTTTTCGTGATGAATGTGTTATTGTACAAAAAATTATTAAAGTTAATTTTTACATTAATTACACTTCTCTCACACTCTTTATTTTTTCCGAAAAAGACATCTCCAATAATGAATCATTAATATTTTATATAAAAGTAAAATAAAGATTTTTTACTAATGTGAGCCGATTTGCTATTATATTTCAGATCACAAAAATTGAAAGGTTTCTGGACGTCTGTGAACGAAGGTAATGTACCAGTATTAGACTTTCTCTCTTCCGCTCTTCTGTCTTCCGAATACGATGTTGCCCTTGAACGAGCCCTGTCAATGCCAGAATGCCCCGTGGTGCCCTTCTTTGGAGCATTCCTGCGAGAGCTCCGAGAAGTCATCTCTCATTCCTCGAAGGTGAGTTTATTCGAAAATCGAAACGATATTTGATTTTTAAAAATTAGATTCAATCCGTGTGAGAAGTTGATTATGTAAGATATCTTAGAATTTCGACGTTATGAGTTAATGCGAAATTAGAGATGAAGAAAATTATAAGAAAACAAGTGGGTATCAGTTTACTGAAGGTTACTCACGTAAAAACAAGTAAATAATGCTTGTTCATAAGCTACATCTAATACCGGACACACAGTATTTATGTTCACAAGTGCAATTGATTCGATTTAAAATTCCTCTTATGACCCAATTTTTTGTGGAAAATAATTTATGAAGTATCTCGTAGATGATTATCTTTGGTTGGATGAGAAAGCAGTACTAGTAATAATCGAAAAAAAAATGATCGATCCATTGAAGTTCTTATATCCGTTGGAAAACGTCTATATAACATCAGTGGTCGTCATGTGGAAAGAAGAAGCTTGCGTTACACGGACGATTTGGCAGACTACCAAGCGTACGCGATAAAATCTAAGCGCGCACGTGAGAGTGAAAGAGAGAGAGAGAGAGAAAGACGTGCTGTAGCTCCACTTGCGCAACGTCAGCCTGTCGGATAGCCGTTTACGCACTGCTCACCAAATTCTTCTCTCTTTATATCGATATATATTCTACACTCATTCTTCCAGCCGTTATTGTACAGTGAAGTCTCGATTTCAAACTCTTATTCGTTTTTCTACGTGTAGAAAATCTGTTCGAGTTTTCGTTAGCTTTTTTTCCGGAATACGTAATGAATCAAAGTCGAATGATCGCACACGCCATTACGCAAGATCTGCAGTCGAGATAAAAATCGTATTCTTTACATTTATCAATGCAAATTATAGCGCGCTCGGAGCTAGCTAAATATCTTTTACAGAAATGTCTGAGGTAATGCGATTGAAGTTGGATGGAATATCTGTATTTCGTATTGATTACTCTTATAACGTTCGGAAAAGCTCCAAGATGATCTCATCTCTCAAGTATCAGCCTTTTGCCAAGAGTTGCAGTAGCAGTTGCGAAATCTTAGAAAGATGAAACACTTCTGCTCTTTTAATTACGTTGAGAGTACTCGAACTTTGTAAAAAGCTGCACTTGATATCTTAATAAACCTATGCTTACCTTTGCTCAAAGAAATTTCTAAATCAATAATCGAAGATCAAAATTATCTTCTGTATCAAAGGTCGTAACATTAACTTCGGTAATGGTACAAATGAAGTAGAAGCATTACATCGACTTGTTTTTGAAGTAAAAGAGAGTACAAGTAAAGTATAATATTCGAGGCTTTGAACGTTATTTTTTTTTAATTTTCCAAGAAATCTGGAAGTAAGTTAAATTTAATGATTCTCGCGAAAAAAATTATACAATAGTCAAAGGAAATAATGAAAAAAGTACATCCAGTTATAGGTCGAAAAGAAGAGAAGAACAACAAAAGAAGTACATTGAGACAATAAGGTGAGGGGTTTCTATCGGCCTCCAGCAGCATAAACGGTTGTAGGCCGGCGGAAACTACTTGCTCTTGTTGTCAGATATCAACTAGGACTTGTCTCCAAGTGCGGATTGTGTCTTTGATCCTATTTTTTAACGCCTACTTTTTTCCTCGAGAGGGTACTTATCTGCTTGAAGAGAAACATTTACCTTTTTATATACTGGACCATGTACTTACCTAGTGTATTTATTACGATTGCTGCAGATATCGTGCTTCAAATATTCACGAGCACAGTGAATGATATTTTCTGCAGCGGATTTTGTGAAAAAGATCTTTTTTTTTCTCCCATTTGAAACAACGTGACTTATCTACATTTCGCAATGTGGGCGTAGCTTTCAAAGTTGTTTTACCACGAAGCTCCAAGTCGAAGCTCGAGCTCATGAAAATCATGTCGTACTTTACCGGTAGAGAATACTCATTAAGCGCGTTGCACTTTCAGCAATCTTCCGAGAGCAGAGAAAAAGAGACTGCAACACTACGCCCTAGCGGCAGAGAGGGCCACAAGACCCTCGACAACGTGCCTTCGTCAGCCGCAACGCGAGAGCAGTCGGCCGAGTCTATTTCGTCGTCGGTAGCGTCGTCCTCGGGCTTCGGGGATATCGGCGGCAGCGAGGCTCCGATTTACCACTACACCCAACCGAGATCACCGCCGCCGCCGTCGCGTCTCTCGAGCGCCGAGCAGCGACGTCGGCTCTTCGACCGCAGCGAGAGCCACGCGGAGCCGCCGCCACCGCCTTCGCCCAGGCACAAATTCTGCGAGAACGAGGAAGCCAATGCCGTTCTCAATAAGGTATACATTTTTCTTTGCGGCTCCGAGTACACGATTCGCCCATTCGGCCCTCGAATCGAGTATCAATTTGTCACAATTGTAAAACAGGTGCAGAGCTTCCACGAGCACCGCCACGCCCGGGGACGAGACGCGGCGACCGGCTCGCTGCATCGGACCCTCAGCGTTCACACGACGACCCTCGAGCCGACCTACGTGGCCGAGGAGTGCGACGAGAACGACTACCATCTGGATCTCGACTCGTATCGGCCCGTAGGCGCCCTCAAGCACGACCATGGCGTCTCCCTGTTCCCCGTGGCGGCCCCGAACAGCGGCATGGACCTGCACCTGCTGCAGCTGCTGCACCACGGCACGACGATGGTGCACTGGGAGTGCGACGGCACCAACTCCCGCACCGCCCTGGTGTACGCGCGCATCGACCGAGCCTGCGGCACCTTCTACTGGGACAAGACGAGCTGGAGCGCCCTCAAGACCAATCCGGCGAGCAACACCATGGTGACCACCAGCACGGGTGTCCAGCAGCCGAGTCAGGTCATCGACTTCAACCTGTACGTCAACGCCGAGGACTACGTGTCCGAGTACTTGACTCAGCGCTACGCGCCCCAGACGCAGGACTGCGCCTCGGTCGGCCTCGAGGACGGCTACATCGACATGTCCTGCGTGAAGGAGGTCATGATCGGCTGCTGCGATCGCGACCGTGATCAAGAGCTGCGAGCCATCTGCAAGAGGTACGGACTACCCGGCTCCGACTCGTGCATCGGCCTCATGTTCGGAGCCAATCTCTCCGAGAATCGCCTCATTTTCCTCTTCTGTCCTCCGGCCCTCAGCAAGTAAGTAACGTGTACATTACTCAAAAATATGCATGTCTTTGTTCTCCGCTTTGTGTCGCATAATCGATCGAACTTGCAAATTTTCCCCAATCGCAGAATCTGGTACATGGGTCTCTGCTGGATACTCCGAGGCCTGAAGCGTCAGCAGCAACTGACCGATCGACGCTCGCGCTGGCTCAAAGAAAAGTACCTGCACCTGTTTTACGAGGACAACTGCAGCGAGCCCATGACGGCCGACGCCATCAGGGAGTTCGGGGGTCGGGACTGGTCGGCAACCGAGAGCGTGAGCACCCTGTCGCCCACCGGCAGCGCCGCAGCGGCCATACGCAAACGCAACGCCAAGAGCAAAAAGACCAAATCCATCACGAATATTCATGCGCTGACCAAGGTAAGGGCGAGCAAACTTGGCGCTGGCAGATTGCGTCGAGTCGAGCCGCGCCAGTACCGGCTGGTCCAACTTGCGCTTCCCTGTCCTAGTTAATCCCTCGGATTGTATCGCCGTGTTGTTTACCGATTGGCCCGATGCGACATGCGCTATTTGCAATTTCATAAGTTCTTTGCGACTCGACGCCGCTCGAAGTTGCTCTTTAGGAGCAAGTTTCGGGCGACGAGATCGCAGCTGCACTCCGCTGTATATATTTAAATACGCTTCTTCGACTGTGATCTGCGTGTAGACAAGTTCCGAGTAGCCCGTGCCGACTTGAACTATGTTTACATCGTTAGTACTCGTGCCAGCAAAGTTTCGCTGTTTCGCAAGATCCAACATAATTATGTTTTTTTTTGGGAAAGAGAAAAATCAATGGCTCGCGATAGCTGATTGTCAGCAACTTGATATATCTGACATTAGGAGTTTCGAGTAACGTCGCTACCTCGTCGCACCGAGGTTCTATTAATCGATCGACTAATCAATAATACGCGCAAGACGTATAATTAAAGGTATTCAACTGGCTTATTGCAGGACTTGAGCTTTAAGCAATACGACGCCACTTCGTCGGATAGCGTATTGGCGCATCCGCGTCACAATATTCAAGGCAGCAGGGAGTCTTTGACGAAAATCATGCCAGCCTCGCCTCGCAGCACTGCGAAGGAGTACCTGCAGCGGGGCGCCGCCCCACGAAGTCCACCGGGCTCCGATCGAGTTGTCAGTTTACCATACGCGAGCCTTCAAAGGTACGTACATGATATATTCGTCGCACCTACGTAACCCTCTATACGCTTGTGTGTGTGTGCGCGCGTGCAGCTCTCGGTTCGACGGCTTTTCTCGACGTATACCCTTTCTATCGGCTCGTGAGCGTTGCTTACACATTCGCCTTTGTAATCTATATTAGAAATTGTCACATTGACACGTGGATATTCCTTTACTCTACCTTTACGTACCTCTCAAAGGTTTTCATATTTTCGAGTTTGGACTTTGGATTTTAGTTTTTCTTTTTTTTTTTGTGACGCACAAAACTGAACTGCAAATTAATTCGATCCCCCCGCAATAACATCACCGTGACAGATGTTATTTTTCACTTTTCAGCCTATTATGCCTCACGAGGGACAAAGATAAAAATGGCCCAAACAGTAGTGGCAGCGGCGGCGCATTCGGCAGCCTGTCCGGCGGCGGTGGCATCGACGCGCCCTGGCCGGTGAAGGCGCGAGCGACCTCCATCATGTACGAGACCCAGCTGAATTTCGTCGAGTTCGTCGCCCTGTTTCGCTCCTTCAGTCTTCGCGCGCGCAAAGATCTGCGAGAGCTGTTCGGCCAGCTGGCCATCACGTGCCGAAGCCAGAGCGACGGATCGCTGCGCGGATTCAACAGCCTCAGGCCGTCGATGCTGAGGCAGGCCAGTGACGCAACACCACAACGAATCGGTAAGAAAAATTGCACTTTTTACCTTCTTAGAGATTTTTCCCAGCGAGTCGACATGACGTTCGATGGATTACTCAAAGTGCATGTACGTGTTTCTTGAAAATATCCATCGATGCTTGGATAAGTTTGCTAAATAATTTTGATAGATCAGCGCCTGACGCATGCAAGTTTTTTCGCCACGAATTTGAATGCGTAAATACCAGTTCAATGGAATATTTTCAGAGTGAAATATCGATCGATATAATGTCGGTATTCGCTTGCGAACGGCCGTACGCAAAAAAATTCGTGATATGTTATATATTCAATAACATGAATACGTGGGCAATTGTCAACAGGTCTATTAACCCGTAACAACTCCATTGACTGTCACGAGTACGGAAGCGACAGCAATTTTCACAAAAAGCAGATATTCGACGCCATCGCCAACTCCAGCATCGTAAATAATTGCTCGGGCGTTGATACCTCGAAATCCCAGGTGATAACGCTCGCCACTTTCACGAAATTTCTCGAGTCACGTCAGCAAGAAAAGCTCACCGACGATCAAATAAAAGCTCTCATCAAGGCAAGTATAATATGCCGCCCCCACTTACTGTATTTATACGGCCCGGGACATATAGGATAGGATTTTAAACCGCTAATGTATCTTGTTAATCCGCAAGTGAAATGTAAAATTTAATTTTAGCTGGCAGTGGAAAATGAAAGGGAGACGTAGAATTTTCCAAGTAGCTTACCGAAAGGTTACTTGGGAGCTCGGAGCGCGTGTGCACTCGCGTAACTCCACTTAATCCACGGCGAAAATTTTAAAAATTAAATGTACTCGCCGAACGAGAGAACATATTATCGACTTCTCAACTTCTCAACTTTCGCTAAGAAGTTTAAGTATTTATGAGAATTAAGAGCTGTATAGCCTGCGAGGGGGCGAGAGTTGTGCGATACATAGTGACAATTTTCCCTTTTCTGCCATTATCTCAGACAATCGAGCCTCGATCTATAATGCCAAGTTTTGCTCCTCTTTCGCGAACCAATAAATGTATATAGATATACAGAGAGAGAGAGAGAGAGAGAGAGAGAGAGAGAGAGAGAGAGAGAAAGGAGAGTTCACGTATACGTATACACAAACAAGTTGCAATGCACGAGAGACGCAGTAAGTAGCAAGAGCCGCTTTTAAGCTTAATCGAGGTCAGGCTCCTTCCCGACCGAGGGAGAGGGGCTAAAGAACGTGGAAATGAAAATAAATCGTGAAATCTCGCGTATTCTATTATTACCGCCACGCGCTCCGCGGCAGCAGTAGCAGCAGCAGCAGCGGCCGCAGCGTCGTCGTACGCCCGCATGCAGTATCTTTTTTCTCTTATTTTTTTCACTTTTTTGCCCTTATCTTTCATCGTTCGTTCGTTTTCTTATCTCGCGATGCGGTGCTACTGCTGTTACTGCGACTGTCTCCTTTTTTTTTCGTCAAACATTGCTCGACTTTTATCTTCATTTATTTACGATATTTTTTATCGCGTGCATAATACTTTTATCCGTTTACTTGATGATACTTTTCGCGTTATCGATCGAGCTTGATAGAAATTTATGATGCAGACATCAGTTATGCGTAATGAATTTCTCCCTGCGCAATTTAGACATGAAATGCAAATATATGCGAGAGATTTTTTTTCAAAATTGTGCAACTCGCGTTAATAAATATAAATTGCTAACACCCTTACGAACGTTCTTATTCAACAAAAATAGCAATCTATTAAAAAATTATTTTACCGTCGCGAGTAAAAGAAGTAGGTTAAGTGATCCTCTCGCTTGCAATGAGTTTTAAATTAGCTCGTGAGCAATTCGACTTTTTTTATTCATCCAAATTTTTTCTCTTTTTTTTTCGTCTATCGATGGAAATCCATTGTAAAATATTACCATCATCCGGATCGCTTCCTAAAAAAAGCTCATGCGCCAGCTACTTTTTTCTACTCGTTTAAAAATAATATATATCGGGCTCTTTGATCTCGACTTTTTTTTTCTCGCTGCATTATTTACATGCCAGTTAATTCGCCGTTCTTAACAAGTCGAGTAAACGTGAAACTTATTTATCCGAGTAGGAAGAAAAAAAGATTATAAGGAGGAAAATATATCAGAAAAAACCTTGAATTTTTCTATACATATATAAAAGAGTTGTTGGTACACGAGAGCGCGCTGTACATAATACCGGCGTTACATTCGAATAAAAGCCACAAGCTCTAAAGCTTTTTCGCGAAAAACTGGAATGCATATAAACGTGGCGCAGGCTCGAACTTGTGAACTTTGGGATCCAAACGAGTATACATATAGGCACAGGCTGCTGTGAACGAGTTCGCGAATGTTGATGTAAATTCGTACTTTGGAGCGCGCACGTGAGTGTATGTATGCTAAGTCTTTTTGTTTCACCTCGCCGTGGGCACTTTGCCACTTGTAGTCGCGTACTCCTCTCTCTCTCTCTCTCTCTCTCTCGGGCGCGCGTAAAAGAAAGCTCCGGTACACAGTTTTTTTCTCAAGCCCTCGCCTTGCCAACACAGTGCCTCGGCACATTTGTTTCTCTGGTTTTGCATTACAAGATGTATAGCCTCGGCGTATACATAGCAGAAGTAGGCTCGAATAATAATACGTAGAGAGGAGGAGAAAAAGAAGTAAAAATGTCGCGCTGCTTGTCATTTGTTCAGAGACACGAGCCCGATCCATCATTGCGCACCCAGTGGTGTTTGTCGTTCGAGGGCTTCGCTCGCTACATGATGGACAAGGACAATTACGCCTTCGCCAACGAGTACGCTCTGCCGGACGAGACGGAGATGCAGCAGCCCATGTCGCACTACTACATCGCCAGCTCGCACAATACTTATCTGACCGGCCACCAGCTCAAGGGCGAGTCCTCGGTTCAGCTCTATTCTCAGGTACGTGTGTCGCAGCCAGGTCTATACGGCCAGTTTATATGTACACCACCGGGCTACGTGCAGCGCAGCACAATGACCGCGCTTCAGTTCGAAATTGCACGCTTCTTGTATAAATTTCGAATATTGCGCGCGCGCGAAACCTATACGTACTACTACGGCAGTACACTTGCTCGTGGCTACAAAGAGAGATGGTATGGCTCTCGAGCTGCGCTGCCGCCTCCTACCTGTAGGCAACTTTATGAGCGTCGATGTCGATGCAAATGCCTCGGTCGCAGGCGCCGTTCGCCTCTCCAACACAGCATAGCAGCTGTATATATATTGATCTAAGGAAAAACTCGGCGCTTCGGGAAAGGCCAGCCAAGTTGGATATATACAGAGGAGAGGTAGCGAGGCAAATATCTGTATATATGTAGCTTTGAGCGCTGATTTTCCGGTGCTCGTGGTTTCGGGGCTATATAGCGCATGTATTACATCGATCCCGCAGCGCTGCACCTGAATGCAGCGCAAAGATCCGTTGGCTTTGTAAGCGCTATAGATACTTCCGCTTTGGTATTCAAAACTTCCTTTGCGCCGATAGCTAGCATAGCTGTCGAATGTAAGCATCTCTTCATTACTTCGACCTTCTTACGAATTCATTCGTTACTCTTGAGAATGTTAATTTTCCATCTTAAATTACTTCGTATATTGATCATTTCAATTGCTACGAAAGTCAACCGGAGCGTGGGATGCATGTTTAGCTTGAAATAAAACGAAGTACGAAACCCGTTGAAATACATCGAATCTGCACTGGCAAAAGAGGAAAAAAGAACATTGCGAATAATCTATATCCCAAGATCGTCGTTAACGGGATTTCTGCGCAGGTTTTGTTGACTGGCTGCCGCTGCGTCGAGTTGGACTGTTACGACGGCGACGATGGCTCCCCTCTGATCTATCACGGACACACTTTTACCACGAAAATCCCTTTTCGCTCGGTCGTCGAAGCGATCGACAGAAGCGCTTTTGTCAGCTCGCCCTACCCCGTGATACTTTCGATCGAGAATCACTGCTCGCTGGCTCAGCAGGCGAGGATGGCGCAGATATTTCAGGTAAAGCTCATATACGTAGAAATTGCAGCAAACATAATAATATAGGAATGGCACGAAATACAATTTTTTTATCGTCCCGTTGCAGTCGGTGTTTGGCGATAAACTCGTGTCGAAATTTCTCACGGATTCGGATTTTGACGATCCGCAACTGCCGTCACCGTCGCAGCTGCGCTATCGCATTCTCATAAAGAACAAAAAGCTCGTCGTCGATCCGACGGGGCCGATCGTGCCGGTGCCACCTCTCTCCATGGCGCATCGAGGCAAAATTCCAATATCCGAGCGGGCGTCGTCGATGAAACAAATGCGCACCGAGATAAGCAGCACCTCGGTTCCCGAGTACTACAGCGAGGACGAAGATGACGAGGATGACGATTACGAGGATGACAATATCGACGGTGAGCGTATTAATTTTATTTGCATTATTTATTTATTTATTTATTTATTTTCTATCAAATGCGATTTTTTGCAAAGCAAAGTATAAATGAGCTTAATACAAACATATAGTTCAAAGGTATAAATTCGCGATTATTGATTTCGTTGAAAAAAATTTACATAATTTGGTTTGAAAAATATAATGGACGAGTAATGGGAGGAGTCACACGAAGTAGACATACTTATGTTTGAATGGTGTAAATATTGCAGATAATTCGATCTCCAGTTACGAGCGTTACCAAATGTCAAGCAATCAGCAGCACGCCCGTGCGCGAGGCGGCGGCGATACGTGCGCAGTCGACGATAAAGCACTAAAGCAGAGCAGCCAAATAGCCAAAGAGCTCTCGGACCTGGTGATTTATTTGCAAGCGATCAAATTCCGCGGTCTGAACACTGCGCAGCCGGCGAGCGGCGCCAAGCCGAGGCATCCGGCGCACACGGGTCAGGTGCAGCGCCACAGCATAGCGGGCATCGGCACCGGCGGCATGACCTGCTCGTCCTCGGGCTCGCCTCAGAGTCTATCGACGTCGACCTCCGTGGCCAGCGGCAGCAGCACCGTGGAAAACCCCTTCAGGTATGCTTTTTCAATTTGATCCTTTTCAATTTGCCTTTATCCTTGTGCATCGTTTTTCATCTACGACTGAAAATTCGTTTTTCTTCATAACGGCAGGTCTCAACGAGGAATGCCGGCTTGTTTCCAAACGTCCTCGCTCAATGAAAACGCGGCGAAAAAGATCTGCAGAAAACAACCGACGAATGTGCTCGCTCACGCGGAAACTCAATTAATAAGAACCTACCCGGCTGGAATGAGAATAGACTCGTCGAATTTCAATCCGGTGATATTCTGGGCGTTCGGTATACAAATGGTTGCGCTGAATTACCAAACGGACGATGCTGCTCTACATTTGAATGCGGCCATGTTCGAGCAGAATGGCCAATGCGGCTACGTGCGGAAGCCGTCGGTCATGTGGGACAGAACGCACATGATGTACAGGTTTGTGCGCCTATTTATATTATCAAACAATTCGAGTCTCTATGCTATTTCGCAGTGTTTCAAATGTTCATCTCGCAAATTTTCAGACGTTTTAATCCATGGGTTAAGGAATTCGACGGTTTGCACTCGGCTCATTTAGCGCTATCCATAGTTTCCGGACAGTACGTGAATCCGACCAATGTGCTGGCCAGTACCTACGTAGAGGTGGAATTGGTCGGTATACAAGTGGACTGCGCGAAGCACAAGACCAAAGCCATCCAAGGCAACGCTCTCAATCCAATATGGAACGAAAAATTCTGCTTTCAAGTCATGTTCAAGGATCTTGCATTTTTGCGTTTCGCCATCATGGACGCGAACTCGCACCATCCCATAGCTCAGAGAGTCTTGCCGCTGAAATGCTTGCGACCCGGTTATCGACACGTGCGCTTGCGCTCGATGAAGAACAAATCGCTGGCGCTGTCGACGCTCTTCATTTACTCGCGAATGGAGGAGGAGAGCCTCGACTACAACACCTATTGCCGCGATCACAAAGAGACGTCGAAACGGGCCTCGTCCAGCAAGGAGGCGGAGAAGCTGACGGCCGTGGACCCGGGCCTCGGCGGCGTCACCCTCAAGCGCCGCATGTTCTTCCTGATGGTCTACCACGTCCTGCCGGAGGAGACTTACACCATTCTCAAGGTCACTCAGGAGAGCACCACCAAAGACGTGATGCTGCAGGCGCTGCAAAAAGCCAACATATCGGAGGACCGTTTGAACGAGTTCATACTGGTTGAAGAGGTGCAGCAAGGCTGGGAGAAGCGCGAGCGGGAAGATCTGCCGACCCAAAGGGTTCTCGATCCATCGGAGCACCCGTTGCAAGCTCAAGGCCAGTGGAAGGGTCAAGGCCGTTTCCTCATGAAGCGAGTCGGACACGATCCGAGCAGCAGGGCCTGGCTCTCCTCGATCAGGAGCACGGCGACCTGTCGCTCGAAGCTCAGCGAGAACGGCTCGGGCAGCGAGCAGTCGTCGCACATTTGGGCCGAGGCCGACACCTTCCTCGTCTGCGTGTACAACGTGTCGCCCCAGATACCCTACACCATACTCCGGCTGCCGGTCACCAGTGCCTCCCAGGACGTCGTGGCTCAGGCCCTCGTCAAGGCCCGTCGCATGGAGGACCCGAAGAAATTCGTTCTGATGGAGGAGCTCGAGTGGGGAGGAGGTACGAACGTCTGGGGCAGTGGCAACCGACAGCGACGAGTCCTTGGAGACGAGGAGAACGTATACACGACCCAGGCATTTTGGAAGACTCTCGGCAGATTCGTCATGAAGGAAAGAGAGCCGGTAATGCCGAAAAAGCACTTGCTACCGGCTACTCTCAATAGATTGAGCAAAGGATTTTCCGTGGGTCGATCGGTTTCTCTGCCTGGCTCGAGCCAAGCAAAACTACCCGTCGGTGAGGCGCTCTCGGATCCGACGGTTAGAAACAGAAATCGATTCATGATGGCCAACAGAAGGAGAGAGGTGCATTCGGATGGCGAAGAAATCCGCGAGTCCGATCTGATGAATGCGGCGATGCAGTTAAAAAAAATATCCATTAGAAAATTTCGTGCTTGGAAGTCATAGTGGCAGTCGCGGGCGACGTCACTTTCCTCGTTATTTACATACCGGAGGAGCTAAGCACGATTTCAAGAGGACATTGACTTAGGAGGTCTTCTGCGTAGTTCAAATTATATGCCAATCTAATTTTAAACTTTTGATCTCAACAATAATTTTACGAGCGTGCGGTTAATGGCTACAAATCAATAGAAATTAGACAACATATAATTTTAACTACGATTAACTTTGAAAACATCTCTCCAAACTCCTCTCAAATCAATAAATATCAAATCATGAGTTGAACGTCGCCCTCGTAATTAATGTATAAGAATATACGAGTTTTCCGTCGATTGTCGTCATGAAGTGTGGTTTGTTGTTTTTTTATATATTCTTAGAGAGCGAGCGAAAATGGTGTCTTTGATAGTAGAATTACCATTTTTAGCTGGCACCTATATGATAATAAGCACATTTTTGGAGTGATTCGCTGTTATAAACTATATATTTTACTGTGTATTTTGCATTATTCTTAATGATGAAAGCTGTGAAATATTTTTGTTTCAAATGAAGTCTAATATTCGTCGATTTGTCTTTCTTCGTTGCTTTTTCTTTGCTCAGCCAAAACTATAAATAAGCAATCGATATTTTCCTTATTAATTATGAAAGATATAAACAAGACCCATAACAAAAAAAATTCAAGTCATTATTAAGGGGATACCAAAGCCGTAACAAACGTAAAAATATTGAATACGTTATTCAGAGATCTCTATACTGAATATTTTTCCAAAAAGCTACATGGATGCCTTCATTTTGTTGTTTTCTAGACATTTTCGTAGCTTCTTAGAATAATGTTGCAGCAGAGATCTCAAAATTCGAAAGCTTTCGTTCTTAGCTTGGTGTTTGTATCCTCTTAAATTTTAACAAAGTATCATTTTGTCGCGATTAAATTGATTCTAGTCTATACACCAAAGAAAAATGACCAATTATTGATTATCGACACTCAAAAGTCGTACAAAAATGGCTTACAATAGAATAAATAATCTTAACAAAGATTCAAATTCAAGAAATAAGATACACAACCAAAACTCGAATGTATAACTGGTATTGTGAAACAAAATACAACCGCCTACGTATGTTTTTAATTATATTGAAAAAATTCATTTAAAACAAAAGATGATGAAACAAATTGCACAGTTGAATGAAATATGAATTTTTTTACTGCCTTAGGGCTATTTTCATGTAATAAAAGCAGTTTAATATTGTACAAGTTTTAACTGATTCATAGTGAACGAAATAATACGCTTGACAGTAACTTGTAAATGACGTGTCCTTTTAAGTGGCTATCAATGAGAAATTGATATAAAGCAAATTTTTTTTAGTTGTAAAAAATATTCAATGTCAATTTTTAGTTTTCTAATTAGTAAATAAATACTCAACTGACATGTATTTTTAAAAGTGATTTGATACGCGTTCTGAATTTATTAGATCATCAAAATGTTTCATGTCAAATTTTTACGTACGTTTTTTTATGCAAGACCAGATATTTTTTTAATATTGTACTAAAGATCGCGATTGCATTATTTTTCATATACAAAAATATATTCAAATCAAATGGCACTAGAAATATTAAAATGAGATTCATATCTACAGACAATTGTTATACTTATACAACATTTAATTATTAATCGCAAATGCCAAGAATACATTTTGTATTATATGATAAATGACAGCATTCGCCCCAGTCTGAAAAAAGCTCTACAGTATACACAAGGCACTATTTGTTATGCATAGATGACCTAGAGTAGTCATGGTACTTGAAAAAAATGCGCTCTTGCTTTCTCGCGCAATGATCGATGTAAAGCATAGTTAAACGCAAGGAAAATAATACACGTAAAATAATAATGTTGATAATAAAAATAATGAATTATAAAATTGATCAAGAAATAATGAAAAAAGTATATACAGGTGTAAAGCACACCAACACGCTTTTGAATTGAAAATTCAAACAGTGTGCTAATCTGAATTTCCAGAAAAAATGATGCACGGGGTAAAAATTTTATTATGTATTAGCAATTTCAAAAAAATCTTTCGATGAGTGCCAATTGCGTTCACTTCCTATTACAAATGATCATCGATCCCATTAACAAGGTCTCCAAAAATAACAATTTTGCAAGTTCTGATTATTTCTCATTAAAAAGCGAAGACGCAATGCGAAACGAGTAACTTTGAAATAGAAGCAATAACCCCTATTTTTGTGTCTCGTAATTGGAGACTTTTATTTTTCTACAACGAAACAACAATAGTTAAGCTGCTTGTATAACAAACTCTTATTCGTATTTAATTATTATTCAATATCTATAAAAAAACCTTACTTTTTAAGTTTTCTAATGTTTATGCGTGGTGTTGATTTCATAAAAATTTTAAGTTTTAAAAAAAGATTTACATATTTGAATTTCCCGTCTTTCACAATAGCCGTTATGAAAGATGGAAAATGACCGTTGTTATAAATATCAAATTCAACAAATATAACGTTAATATTGACTATTCGTAAAATTTTCCTTTTTATGATTGAAAAAGTATATCGAATGTATGTTGAAAAAATAAAATGAACAAAAATTGACAGTTCAAATGGTATGATGTTAAATTTTACTTATTTAAAAGGAACTTAAATCAAGAATAATGTCAGAAACAGCATTGGAACTATGTATGATTAGTTTAATCTAAAAAAAGTGAAAATTTATAATAATTTATGGATGATAAAGTAACAAAATGAAAATTTATCAACTGGAGACCATAATCTGAGATTATTTGCGTTAGATAATCGTAATCGTTAAATTGCAAACGTATGTTTTTTTTCTAATAAAATAAATTTTCGTTTGAAACTGCTGTACAGTTCATTGTAAACGCTCTCATATTATCTTCACTCATATTCAATATCTGAATGCAAGTATCTAATAATTTGTAAATACATATGACGATATTTATAAAATCTATTTATAAGTATTGAAAATAAAAGTTTTGATACCTGCTAAAAATAAAATCAACCAAAATTAAAATTGTACTTCTATACATAAATGTGTAAAATGAAAATAATTTGAGTTGTAACTAGAAACGATGTTGCTTGAATTTAATATTTGGTTAAAAATTATTAGATGTTGAGTGTTCCAAAATAAAATAAAACGTAGAGTTTCGTGTTGGACAGAAAATTTTAAAATAAATAGTCTTAATCTACACATATAATAAAATATAATATATATAAATCAACAAAATTTAACGACTTGAACGTCACTTCTCTCTACATTATCATGTGTAACTGTATTAGCAAGCTACCTAATCTACTACTATTTTTAAACGTTCGGGACCATATTCATAAAAATTGAAAAAAATATTATTATTATTAAATTAAACTGATGAATAATATTCTTTAAATTTTTCAAAAAAGAACCGTAATCAGTATTAAGTTTCGCAGTAATCTGAGAGTATCCTTGAAAAAAATCACGAAGGGTCAAGATCCTAAATATTTCAGCAAGTGCGAATTTCATGTGTACATATCGTTTTCAGATTTTCAAGTATAATCATATTTTATGAGTAAAGTAACTGCATCTACCAGAAATAATTCATTAAAATCTAATATGATAAGTATGAATATGCATTGTACGCCAATAATTGTGGAACAGATATTGAAATAGAAAAAATATAACTGTTTGAATTGCTGGACTATAACTAAAGTAGATAAACTAAAAAAGATACCCTCAAAATTCTAATACATAAAACTATAAGATATTAAACTTTTCTATGAATTTTCTGAATGTAGACACTACCGGGCTGGCTCGGTAAAGTTATTTGTGCGTTTTATCCGCTAAGTAATTTTGAAACTTGGAAATAAATTTACATAATCTTACACGCTTGCTGCGACCGGTTTTTCGCACGCTTCAAATTTTAATGCATATGTTGTTGGAGTGACTGTCGTCGGTATGCAGTTGTTAAGCTTACAAGTTAAATTTTCAGGACAATTCACTGAGTTTGTCAAGTACAATGTATAAATCAAATTTGATTTTCAATTTCACGCTGAATTAATAATCAAGTGTTTGTTAAGCTTTTCGATCTGTCATATTTAAATTAATAATGGTTGGTTGATTTTGTGTGAAAGGAGATTTTACACTATATTCTTGTCACTATTAATTTGTCATATTAAATGTTCACTTTTCGCTCCAATGATTTTATTTGGGAACACAATACGCTTTAGATATAGAAAAACGTAAAATTCATAACAATTATTGTAGAATCTTCTAAAAAGCATTTTATAAAATGCAATTTTACTAAATTTCCAATCTTAATACAATTTTGGCAGGGTAGAAAAACTGTCATATAAAGAAATAAATTGATGAAATATAAATGCGACTCGTTTTTATGTCTGCTACGAGAGTAGCCTAAAAATTGTGCTATTAACGTTGTATCTATGTATTTCAATACTTTTATCAGCTTGCTAAAAAACTATAAATTATGATAACAGTCACTCTTGTAGCCGAAATTAGATGATGATACTCGCTAGAACACTTACACTTTATTTCTGAAAATATATTCATAATTACCTAAACGAAAGTTTTTAACCATCGGTATCCAATTATTTATAGTATGAGAGCTAAGCTAACTTAACATGTTTAATAACAATTATTATATTATTATTAAAATTGTTGAAAAATCTACGTGTAAATAAATAAAGAGCATTTTTATAAAATTCACTTGATTTTAATTTATTTATTAGTCTAAATGTACCAAAGAAGTTTTAATTTTTTTTATTTAACAGTTTTTATCAATATATTCACTTTATTTACAAAAATATTATTTTTATCTCTCCCGCAACTCATAAACATGTACATATTTAATAATATGATTTATTAAAAGAATCTTATCGTGCTTCATGTCGGATATAATCAAAACTTCAGTTGTGCATTTCTCCGAGTCAATCGCAGTAATTGTCGAAAGAATCCGGTGTTGTAAACGAATTTTAAAAACGAATTAATATTATAGAGATGGTGAGATTACAATAATAAATTATTTATTTACCGAAATGATGTTACTGAAACCTCCTTATATCGCGTTCTAATCTGTCACTATTTTTAATGTAAAAGAGATGTAAACTAACCTAGCAAAATTTCGAATTGTAAAAAATGTATTTTATTGTGTCTTTAGTAATTATTACAATTAAAATAATCAATTGAAAATACTAGGAAACTCGATTATTCACAAAATAATTATAAAATAGTTCTTAAAACTATTTTTGGTAAGAGTTTAAGATATGAAAATGCAACGCCCACTTGTTGCATTGTATTTTTACTTCTACTATGAAAGAATTTGCATCAATATCAATTTTAACTTAACCGGTACAGTAACTGATAAATGCTAATACAACTACATTTACACAATAAATTTTGAAATAATGATCATAATAATTTTATCATAAATGCTTGATTTCAATCTATAAAACCTTATAATAATCCTCAGTCGGTACGCTTTGATTATAAAGGGCTCATCGCTCCTGTATTTGCTACATTTACCGAGTAAGCACAAAAAATAAGTGAAAACATTTTTTTATGAATTTATAACTGAATACAATAAATTTTTAGTGAAAAACAATTGAATTTGGATCTTGTTTCTGAGTATGCTAATTACTTAAAAGCTCAAGGAATCGAGGGTATTTTAGGTGCGTATAAATTTATAGATTCATTCATTGAAAAAAATTTTTAGAGATATCGTAAAATTGTGTAGTAAATGGAACTAGTGGTGAATTAACATCATTAAGTACTAAAGAAAGGAAACAAATCGCTGAAGCATGGGCAAAAGCAGTAAAAAAAACAAAACAACATTTGATGATTCAAGTTGGAGGTACATCTTTAAATGAAGTCATTGAACTTGTAAGTATATTTTGATGGTTTTTATTTGTGAATAATTTTATTAATAATTACACATGAATTTCTTTGAACCAAGGCCAAACACGCTGAAGATTGTGGAGCTGATTCAATTTTATGTTTACCAGAATTATATTTTAAACCAAATGATATCGAAGAGCTTACAAATTACTTATCAATCATTGGTAAAAATGCTCCTAAGACTCCACTATTATATTATCACATTCCTTCAATGACTCATGTTAACAGTATGTATTTGAATCTTTATACAAGAAATAAGTCTGTTGAAGAAATTTAGTTTTATATTTTAATTTTTCTTTCATAGTTCACATGGGGAAATTTGCAAACTACGTTGGAAATAAAATACCAACCTTGGTAGGACTAAAATTTACTAGTAGTATCTTAGAAGAAGCTTATGAAGTGATGAAAGTTAACGAGAATCTTCACGTTTTTCTCGGCAACGATCAGGTAAATCGGTCGATAAATATAATATTCATAAATATTAATATTATTTTTTAATAAAAAATTATCTACAAAATTTAAATTTTGCATTTCGTTCAAGTTGATGCTAGCTGCTAGTACAATGGGAATTGATTCGTTCATAATGACAACCCTGAACTTCTTTCAAAAGCCAGCTTTAAATATTATGCAATACATTAAAGATGGAAAAGATTTGGAAAAAGCAAAAGAAAGTCAAAGAGCAATCGCAACTGTAGTTGAAGCTATAACAAATCATGGTAAGTCCTTGGAACATTTAAGGATCTTACCTTTTTATAATTAATTTATTTTCTAGGAACATGGGTTAATTCTATGAAAGCCGCAATGAATATATTTACAGATATAAACGTTGGGCCTGTGAGAGAGCCGTTGAAAAATATTGTTTTTGAAAAAAAAACTTTTGAAAAAAATATTGATGCACAATTTCACTCATATTTTAATTAAAGATTTATAAAAATGTTTAAAAATATTTTGATTGAATAAATTTTCATAAAAATCTACACCAACATGTTATTAACCGATACTTATCCATACTTTAATACCATTATATCGCTATGGTGGTACGTAACTTCAACTCTAATGTACCGACTTGTGGTTAAATAAGAAAAAATATTTCGTTACGTCAAGAAGATGCAGTAATATATATTATAATGTTTGTACTTTATGGTTCATAACGATATCATACAATGTACATATGAAAAAATGTTGAAATTCATGGAAAATAAGTTATTATAACAGGTAAATTTTTGTAAAAATTTTTAAGTACTTTTTGAGCGATCGTGGAATTTACTACTGCGACTATGTTAATCATATACATGATTCATGGAAAAAACCCGTGAAAAAATCTTGAAAAAGCAACTTTTAGAGTTTATCTGAAAATGATGACGCTAAATGATACGTTCACGAGTGAAAAATACTTACTTGAATTGTAAAATACGGTGGCACAGTTAGTTGTGAGATTTGGGGATAAAAAATTTGAAAAAATATGTCCGTCTACTACCGATTTCTTATGGATTTTGACATGATATTTAAAATAATATAATATTTTTGGGAAATTTTGTAAAAATTTCAGGTAAAAAAGTCTAAGCAAATAATATTACCTATTACGAAACCAAACTAGCAAGGTAATCGTATTCATTGAGATATCTTTGCCTGGAAAGTCAATATACTTGATTGTATGGTGTTGTAATTAATTGAGCATTGGTTTTATTCGCAAATGTATCTCGTGAAGGCAAATGTGGATTGCAATACAAAACAACCAGTTGGTGTGCATTCACAACAAATCTGCATAGTTTACGAATGATCCTATTTTAAGTCCATCCTCGTTTTTTTTCTCCTTCGAGAACATGGATAAAAAATTATCCCCCTCAGACCATTCAAATGCCGAGAAGACGAAGAGCCAAAAATGCAGGCTTCTTGCGTGTGGAAACCGTAAAGACGAAGAAAATATCAGGTTTTTCGTCGGTTTGAAGACGCCTCGCGACGGTGAAAGTGTAGCGACACCGCAGAGCGTGCATTACACCTTCGCGTGAGTACAGGTAAGAAATAATATCTGCATGCGTGCCGTGCGCGACTTCGGCTTGGCTCGGCGACAGACGAGTTTAGTCCGCTTAGTTGTTCGCGTCGCAGTGTACACGCGGTTGTTGTTGTTTTGATTCGCCACTACCCACCTTGGCCGCCGAGTGTTCAGTAAAAACGAGTTAAAAAACCATAATAAGCGTCGTTGCCATCATGGCGGTAATAACTATCAAAGTATAATACAGCAAATTCTGTCACGCGTATAATAACAGGGCACTTTTAAGCGACGACGATATTTAATAATCGTTTGCATTTATTACAGAAAGTTAATTATACCTACAAAGGATTGATCGTGCCAGTCTTTACGCCGTTCAATAACGATCCGTGCGTATAACTCGGCCATCGAGATTTAATTTCGCGCTTGCATAACCAAGGCACCGATTAATCATGTTCGTCGATTTTTCACATTTTCAGAAGCCGAAGTCTGAATGTCTCGGTCGTTCCGGATTACGCCAAATTTCTCGTCTCAAAAAATATTCAAGGAATTCTAGGTAAAATAACATTTTTTCTCGAGGTTGCATACTTCGTCGCAATAATCAATCGGAACGTTGAGTTTTTTTTTTTTAATTCTGCTTCAGTCAATGGCTCGACCGGTGAAGGGACGTGTTTAACCATCGAAGAAAGAAAAAAGATAACCGAGGCATGGGCCGCAGCAGTCAAAGAGACCAAGCAACATCTCATGATTCAAGTCGGCGGAGCGGCTCTCAAAGATGTTAAAGAACTGGTAATTAAATCGCATCTCCTGTCACCTCTATTAATCATTTAACGTCACTGTAAAAGTACGGTGTACAACTGTGTAACTCCTGTTACAGTGTAACAAATACAAAGTAAGAAAGATTTGCATGCTTGATTACTCAACGTCACCTCTATTTTAATGTAAAGTCCAGCGCGTGTTATATAAACCAATATTTAAATGAGCGTCGAAGCGTTTAATGCCATTCTAAAATGTGTAAATTAATATCTCATTATCACCCCGAGATGGATGGGTTTACAGTTTACATGTCGACGGAGTTTTATATGAAAATGACGAGTGAGTTGAAAAATTATTAACCATTTGTCACAGGCCGCGCACGCTGAAAGCTTGGGCGTGGACTCGATCTTGTGTTTACCCGAGCTGTATTTCAAGCCGACGAGTCCCGACGACTTGATTGAGTATTTGCATCAGGTAGCTGAATCTGCACCTTCAACGCCCTTGTTTTACTATGATTTTCCAAAAGCTACCATGGTCAATGGTGAACACATCTTTTTTTCAATTTAATCCTTTAATGTTTTTTTCTCGTTTTCTTACTAACGAAAAAACTCATGTTTATTCGCGACAGTTGATATGGGCAAATTCGCTGCATCGGTAACCGATAGAATACCCAATTTTTGTGGAGTTAAGACTGACTTGGAGAGAGGCTTACAAGCTGAGCGAGCCAACGAAAACCTGCACATATTCATAGCGGGGGATATGGTAAGTTTCTGTAGTCCATTCAGCCATGAATGCAATAAATAACGCGGAGAAAAATTCATTGCATTCCAGATGATGATAGCCGGATGCGCCACTGGAATGCAGTCGTACATAATGACAAGTATCAACTTCTTACCGGAGCCCGCGTTGGAACTGCTGGAGTACAGCAAGGGTAACAGTAGCTTGGAAAACGCTCGGAAAAATCAAAAATTCATCAACAAAGTCATCTGCGAGGTCATTCGTCATGGTAAATGAAGCAATGATTTCTTTATGCCCGTAGCTCGTGAAAATCTTATAAGCACATTTTCGTACGATTTTTGTGTAGGGGCATGGGTGGAGACCATGAAAATTGCCATGAGCCTGACTACGAATGTATTTCTGGGCCCACCACGAGCACCTCTGAAACTTCTTTCGAAAGAAAATGTACAAGTCATGTCCAAAGGATTGAACGGACTTGGCTTAAACACAAATGAGACTGCAGTAATTGGAATGTACTGAATATTCCTCTTATTAGTAATTTAATACTTTTTTGTAACGAGCAATAAAAAAATTATTATCGTTTCTTCCTCGTAAAAATAATCTGTGAACTCATTTATTATATAAAATCTTAACAATATCGGTAAAATTATGCACATCACTGACGAACGTGATTTTAATTATCTTAATCCACCAGTATCAAATGGGATTTATATAAGCGATTGATTAAAGCGGACGACGATAAGTACGACATATTTTTGAGTGACAAAAAGTTTTGAAATCGATTAAATTAAGCATCTGTGTAAAATTTAAATACAAGTTATTCAATTTTCTGCATTTAAACTCACGTTCTATTTGTAAACTATGTATGCACAACAGGATCTCTACTTCAAATTCGAAATAAACTTTGTTACATAAAGTCGCACAGTCTCAATGTTTTATCACCTGCTTCTATATTGCGTGCCGGGGAAAAAAAGTCTCTTACATTTTCCAAACGATCTCGATACGCTCACGAAGTTGGCGAAAAATTGTCTGAGAGCAAAGCAACGATCGCAGATGATAAAAAATCGTAAATCGTAAAATTTTCTTACCGATAACTACATCGCATTTATTATTGAATTGGAAGGTTACTTGAAACCTTCGATGAAGCGATACCGTAGATTGCATAACGAATCAAGTCCTAGATATTTTCTTACAATGCGTCTGGAAATTTTTCTATGGTGGTTATATCACGCACACAGTAAAACCTCCTGTATGGGATATGTATAAGTAATACAAATTAGATTTCGAAAAGACCGCAAAGGTTCCATAATCCGATCGAATGACACATTCCTCGGAAACGCCACAAAGAGACATTCAAGAAGATAGTGGACGTAGGTTCTCTATTACAAATATTGTTACGTAATATTGTTTGCAATAATATTCATGAAGTTGATCGGAGAAAACGTACCTCATGATAAATAAACACAATTATTCACGCAACAATTTTTTATATTTTACTCTTTCAAGCATGCGAAAAAAAAGTTGCCTGACATTAGAATTGCATCGATGCGTGGGAGGGTTATATGCACCCTCGGTGGTAAAGGTCAGAGACGAATCGATTGAAATTTGATATTCAGAAATTTGAGTAGCCGTCGCGTATAGGCAAAAGGGAAAGTTCGCCTATCTACGCGGCTTTTGTCGTAAATTTTTACCTCGATGACGCAAAAGAGCTTACCTTTGCGTCAGATTTTATTTGACATTTATGATCCAGCACCTTTTTTATGGTGCCAACTGCAAAAAACGAAAATTTATCGAATATAAATGAATAATAATGATAAAGATACATTAGGGACTTTCAAAAGAATCATTTCAGTGAATAAGAAATTCATTTAACTTGCTCAGTTTTTATGAGGGCCCTTGTCGCACGAGTGGAATTAATTTCAAATTATTTTTCTGTTTATTGATATTCTGCAGGACGCTTCACTGAAGTTTGGAGGGTTGCCATATACTGGGCATAAAATAATCGTCGGTGCTTTAAAATTAGTGGCGTCTGCTGTTGAATCAGTTACGCGAATAGTAGCGTGAGCGAACTGGTTGAGATAAACAAAAATGTCAAAAAATGTAAGGATATTTCGATTTTAGTAAAAGTATATGCAACAACTTCGATTCGAAATGGCTGAAGTTCAAAATTCAAATGAAATAAAGGCTAATAATGTGCTGCTAGAGTCAAAAGAACCTTTGTTATTTAAAAATATTCTCCACGAGACAAAAAATTATAGTAATTGGGATATACTCAATTGGAATTGGAAAGAACTTGGTAATATTTTTGCAGATAAAAAATTGCCATTTAGGGTTGGGAAAAAAGAAAAAACAAAGGTAATGATTGTACCTACTGTATCATCAAATAAAAGAGTTGCATTTTAAAATGCATCATTGTAATTTTTACAGGACCCTCAATGGGAAGTATATACACCAATTGTTTACAAAACAATGAATGAGTTTTTGAACGATGCAAAAAAAGAATCTTGTAATTGGTATTATTTTGATTATAAACATATTCGAGAATGGTTCAAAGATAGACCAGATATAGTCAAATCATTCGACTGGAAACTCTTTGATTTAGACTTTGATGGATCGGACTCAACAATGTGGATTGGTAGTGAAGGAGCCCATACAAATTGTCATCAAGACACTTATGGGTGTAACATTGTCGCACAAATTCATGGAAGGTTGGTGTGATAACAACTAAAATCTTTGTCAAAGGTGATGACCAAGATTCTTAAAGATATCAATAGTTTAAGTTGATAAAACTAAATAATACATGTTTATTACAGAAAATTATGGTTATTATTTCCACCAGACTGCAGTAGTCAGATGAATCCATCACGAACACCATATGAAGAGTCAACAATTTATAGTAAATATAACTTTTTTACTCCTAGTAGGAAAGAAATTGATGCCATTCAAACTATGATTGGAAAAGTAAAAATGGTCATTCTAGAACCAAATGATGTTTTGTTTATTCCCAATGGCTGGTGGCACTATGTTGAATCTTTAGATATAAGTTTGAGTGTAAATGTTTGGATACCTCAACCAGATGATTGTAAAGCTAGATTAAAAGAATCGCTGGTTAACTTAATTGTTAATACAATAGGACATGACTTACCTAAAGCGGACGATCATCCAGATTCCTCTTTATTAGAATCCATTAAATATGTAAGTATTTCATTTCTTATTTGTTTATTAACAAAAATATATTGTCAATAAAAATTTATTTTTTAGATAAAATTGTCTTTGAAAGAATGCAAAAATTTAAAAGGTAATGAAATGCTAGAACCTCCATGTAAAAAGAAAAAAAGTAATACTGAAGATGTTTCTTCATTTCAAAATGTAGAAAATGAATATGTAAAATTTATTAAAACAGTTCCTAATTTCACTAATGCAGATTTTGAGTATTTTTTGACAAAAAATAGTTGTATGGATGGTTTACACGATGAACAAGCAGAAGATAATTTAGAAGAATCAGATCTAACTCTGGTAGAAACACTTGTTGATGCATTTAGTCATCCTGACATTATTTCTAAAGTTTTTAGTATGATAGAAAGCAAGTTATTAAAATGACCAGAAAATTTCCATGAAATGGGAACTAATTTATAAAGAGGTGAACAATTTTTTTTGTGTTTTTGTAGCTGAATGATTTTAATCAATTTAATCATACTTTAACGAATTGTAAATAAAATTTTGAATTGGATTCACTTTTTAACAAATCAGTGTAATTGTATTATGTTTTTGTATTTTAGTATTTTATCTTCACTAACATTTCTCAATAATGCAGAGTTACTATTTTACCTACACCTAATATCAGTAGATTACGAACTTGACATACGTTGAAAGGTTATGTTTCATTGTATATTTTGTAGTGTATAAAGTGAAGACATAAACATCCAATTCTCAAATTGAAACCATTAGAAAAAAAACCGTTATCAATCATTATAGAAGATTCTAAGTTATTACGATAATATTCAGTAAATTTTAATAGTTATCAAAATGGGTCTTCTAACTATTTTAAAAAAATTAAAACAAAAAGAGAAAGAAATGAGGATACTCATGTTGTTAGTTCTGTGTTTTTATTTTTAAAGTCTCAAGCAAAATTTTTATTGTTTTTTTATACATGTTTATTTTTCAGAGGATTAGATAACGCTGGAAAAACAACAATTGTTAAAAGGTTAATGGGTGAACCAATAGATACAATATCTCCTACTCTCGGTTTTAATATAAAAACTATGGACCATAAAGGATATAAATTAAATGTGTGGGATGTTGGAGGTCAGAAATCTTTACGCACTTATTGGAAAAATTATTTTGAAAGCACAGATGGTTTGATTTGGGTAGTTGATAGTGCTGATAGAAGAAGATTAGAAGATTGTAAAGAAGAAATGCACAAATTACTTCAAGAAGAAAGATTAGAAGGAGCAACCTTATTAATTTTTGCAAATAAACAAGATTTACCCGGTGCAGTGACAGCAGAAGATATTGCTCAAATATTGGATTTAGAAAGTATTAAAACACATCACTGGAAAATCTACAAAGCTTCTGCAATCACAGCTGAAAATTTATTGGAAGGAATAAATTGGATAGTTGAAGATATATCCAAAAGAGTATTTTATAATGATTAAAGAGAATTATACAATTAATCAATGTGCTGGAAACTAATATCTAATAATCTAAGTCCTCTTTGTATGCATGAAATGTGAGTGTTATGAGAACAAGTTTTTAAATATAATTCAAGTTTTATAGTCACAATTATAATATTTATAAAATATTTTATTAAATGATATATTAAAAGCAGATAGTTTAATATTTTAAAAAGTTTTTTCTACTCATTTCTTCTTTTTACCCTGTTAAAAATTAAGTAAAGTTAAAATATGATGATTTTTGCTTGGTTTGAACATATTGTACCTTTTTATTTGTTTTTTCTTTCGATTTTGGAGACTTTTCTTCTTCCTCTGGTTCTGATCCTAGTTTCTGTGGTAGAGGTAACTTGGTATCAGGAAAGTAAGATAAGTAAGATACTTTCATTTCTTGTAAATTTATCATTCTTCTTGTAACTAGGAATTGTTTTGCAATTTCATTTATTAGATTTTCTGACAATTTAATACCAGACTGTTTTACTAATGCCTCAAATCCATCTGCATAAAAATATAACTCACATGAAAATGCTTGATTTTACTCATCAAAAATCATAATCACAAACCTCTCGGTATAATTTCATCATTCAGTGAAAGTATAAAATGACCAAAATTTTTCCTTTCTTTTTTATTTTTCTGGTTCATTGCATCAAAATTAGCTTGTTTAAAAAAGAGTTCTCTCAAATCAGGTCCAATAATTAAGAAATTTTCCAAAATTCCTCCTAACTTCAAGTTCAAGTTTGGTTTCAGAATTTTTAGTTGGTCTAATGCTGGGATGGCATTTTTGGTGGTCCAAAAGTTTTCTAAATCAAGAATGTGCAAAGGAGTTTTTACAAAATTATCTATACTTATTGCAATGATGAATTCTGCTATTCCTTTAGGACTGAATAAATTCTGGCTAAGCAATATTTCTTTCAATGAGTTATTAGATACTATGGCTTTAGCTAATACCAAGACTTCATTATCGCTGAAGCAGTTAGCTGCAAAATGATCACATCTGTATAAATAAACAGCCGTCAAGCATTAAAATAAAGCAACATTACCTTCTAAGTTGAGTCTCTCAACAGTTTTTGTATTAATAATAAAGTTGGTAAGTGAAAATATTCCCTCTTGGTTCATTGCATTCCAAGACAGATCAAAATCAGTAATCGTTGTATTTTTGATTAAAGCCTTAAACATTTTTTCACAAGTATCTTTGCTATACAAATTATTCCAACTAAGATTAAGCTTTTTTAAAGAGTCGGTGTTGCTTATTAAATAACTAATATGATCTGCTGAGTTCTCATCGAGATTATTATCGGAAACGTCGAGACTTAATAGCAAAGCATTGGCGCTTGTGGCTTTAGCGATGTACGAGAAACCTTCGGCATGCAAATCACATCGTCGCAAACTAATATGCCTCAAGGAAGAAATGGATATACCTTCTATAAGTCTTCTTGCACCCTCGCTGCCAATTTTACAATATGATAAGTCTAACGATGACAAAATTGAGTTCCGGAGTAATAAATTATTCAAATAAAAACAATCTTTTTCTGGAATTATATTGTCCTGTAAATTTTTGAGTAAAACTAATAAATTTATAATGATCATTGTTGAAAATAATCATAGATTCTTTGTCCCTACTTTTAAATTCAAAGTTTGTACTGTCGTATTGAAAATTAAAGCTTGACATAAAGGTTGAATTATTCTTGAATCCAATGAAAAATACGATAAATCAACTGTGTCACTCTTTAGTTGTTTTTTCAAACACCCTATTGGCGCCAACTTAAATATGTCAATTAAATCATGGAACTTATCGATTCCATCGGCAGCATAATCAGGTGGACTTGGATACAAAATCCAAAAAGCGTCTCTCAAACCGGGATCTTTCGGTACCGGAAAAAAATTGTAAAGATTCAAGAACTGAAGCTGCGAATCGCTTATACTGATTGCTTTCAAGCATGGATGCGTCAAACTTTCTACGGATTCAGATTCTTCGAATCCTAACTTTTTCGAATCCCCGGATGAACTTGTGAGAATAGTTTTAACTTCGTCGTCCTTTGCAAATGTATTAATATCAATTATCAAAAATTTTAAATAAATCACTCAAATTTTCGCATACTTCTTCCTTTTCTTCGATGTTGTCCGGACGGTATATAAGTTGATCCAAGTCATATTTGAGGGACCAACGTTCTGAAGGGCACTTTTCTTCTTCTTCTTCATAATCACAAAAGTCCCGTGCATAGATTATATCAAAGTCCTTTCATGAAAATTACTATTGATTATCTTTTTAAACTATTTCATAGTTCATCAGTAAATAAAAAAACAATAAAGAAAACCAATAATTTCTTTATCACTAGTGTATCACTCATGGAACAACCCACCTGTAGTTCGATCATTGCAATAATTAGAAATGTATCAAGCACTAGAATTTATAAATTTTTTTTTGTTTTACTGACTTCAAGACATTGTAAAAGAAATAACGAAACTTAATAATTTTTCATTTTAAACCATGATTAAATTTACAAAACAGTCTGAAGTTTTCTGTTTTATATATTCTACCTTCATTTTTATTTTATGCAGATGAGTTTTTGGCCTCATAAATTTCATTTTCACAAATTCCGAGTGAAAAATAGTTGCAAATTTTTTAAATGACCGATGAGTAATGATTTAAAAAAAATTTGCGGCATAAGTTATCACGTTACGAATACATAATTATATCATTGCCTTGCAATTCCGAGCATTTAATATACTTATAAGCAGTGAGACATGAATCACACATTTGACCAAAGTGCCACGCTGCCGCCTCTGATGCTATCAATTGGATGTGCGCAGTGTAGCAGTAAGACACTTTATTATGAGAATTAGAATTAGTCTCTATTATATTACAGTTCACCGCCGAAAAGTGCAATTACTTGGCTTAATTTATTTTCATGGCTCGGAAGTAGCATTTAACGTTTGAGACGTATCTTCGATCCAAGTTTTATATAGCACATGCAACCCTCGATTCATGTTTACTTGCATACCTGCATTGATACAATCAAAAATACAATGAAGCGCGAAAGTGACGTAAAGAATTTTAATTTATTTTTCTAATAAAATAATTATGAAATTTAAAGTACATTTTCTAAAAATGTTTGAAATAATCATGAATTCATAGAGCTAAATAAAATTTTAACGTTCTTATTTTGCATTTGAAAAAATGAGATGGAAGTAGGAAGATGGTGAAATTATTAGGCAATTAAAGAGATAATTCCATTTTGTTTTTATACGTCGAAATAATAATTATTAATAATCAATATAATATTAATAATACAATTTTATAATATAATAATCGATCTATCTATTCTTAATTCAATATAGAATATAGTTCATCTTTATAAAATAAAAATTCTATGATATAAAAGTTTTGTGTCTTTGTTGTCCTCATTATTATTCCATTGCGCTTGTGCATTCTCCTATCATAAGAGAAGCCCTTACAACAACGTTAAAAGCTAATAAAAGGGAAAAAGACCGGCTGAATTTATTTTGGAAATTTTTTACTGCACATATCCTCGAACAAACATAATACACTTTCGAAAGTTTACCAATTATAAGATCATGGTGTCTAACACCTATGAAAACGCCCGCTTGGTCAGCCTCCGTATCTCATCAGCGACTTTACTCGCTTGTTTCTACTTTATAAATATATTTATAATAATTATTTATAGTATTTATAAAAAAAATTCTATTTACAATATACGTATGTATTATTACGACCGCGCGAATCTTTCGTAAAGCCTTAAATTTCTATTGCATCGTAAAATTACGAAATTTTTAGAGATAGATTTTACTCTCCACTTCATAAAATCTGCATATTTTACATCGTTATTTAATAATTATACGACGATTTTGTTCAACGAATACATAAGGGTATAAATTTGGGAAAAATATCGTCGTACTTGAGAAGGGTCAGTAAATGCACAATTACAAAGTTATCATATGCTTTCATACTTTTTTAGATTTAAAAAGATTAATAGAAGGAAAAACGTATAGCATTGAGACGAAAAAAGTACAAGAAAATATTGGCGTAAGAACGCCCCGCGCTTTCATCATTATCACAATGTCTCGTTTGAAGGAACGTACAAGAGCCTGTTATATGCATCAAAAGTGTGCGTGTTTGCATTTTGCTTTACATTTTGTTTTAAGAAAAATGTTCTTGTAACTTGCCATTTTTATAAAGTTATCATTAGGAAAAAACGACTTCGATGTAGAAAAAAATACATATAATTGACACTATACATTAAAAAACATTTTCTCTAAATTTCGCATATCAAAATTTGTGTATATAAATGTTATAACTTCCATTTTTTAGTATCACAACCGGATAGCCGGCACGATTATTTTATAAATTTTAAAAATCTGTGCCACCGCATACACTGCACATGAAGCTCTACAGACTATACGTAATGTATAAAGTATGTATAAGTAGAAAAACTCGAGGACTACGCAGTTAAGAAAAAAACACGTATCCTTTCTCTCGCATTAAATGTACATACAGATCATTTGAAACTCTCATTAGACATTCGGCACTCTTTCTCTAAAGTAGGATTGACTCGCGTCGTCTCCTCGCGTTTTTCTTTTTAATATCTCGATTAATCTTAATGATTCGATGGAACGACGCGAGTACTCGCATCGACGCATCGTTATAGGCTTGATAAATTTAATAAGTACGGGCTATGTACATATGTACAACGATAACAACTCGACATAATGTTACAATTCTAGTGTTGAAAACAGTCATATGCCGTGGTGTGATATTTATTTTTTTAAAGGTAAATCATTATTGTCACAGGAGCTTTTTCATCGTGCGAGATTACACTTTTTTCACTCGTTAAGCAATTACACATACTCATTCACACACACAATTGCTACGACGAAATACATTTGAGAATACTTATATTATAATAAAGTTAATTTTTACAGTACACAACAGATACATTTCGATAACGAGTTAAAAAGGACGATCGAAAAAATGCAAGCTCAACGGGCTCTCGCAAGGTAAAAGCCATACAACCTCCAGAAAAAAAAGTTTTTGCGTGCAAGTACTTGGCGTAAAATCAGAGATGCTAGTATCACGTTTCCAGGCTGAATTAATCTAAATTCCGGACGCTAAATTTAATGAAAATCCTTTGATTTTAACAGCATACTGTGGTAGTTTATAGTCAAAGGGCGGCAAAGCCCTGTTCATGATTACTGTGACACAAGCTGATCAAAAAATCTTCAGACATGTACCGTCAGCATTTGATGTGGCTGACCGGAATTTGGATACGTCGGCTCTTGTAACCGCGGTTTCGTATAGGGCTTGTGTGGTGGGTCCTCATAGTTAAAAGTCACCGTGTTGTTGCGCATCTCGGCACAGGGTGGCTTGTAAAGAGGCGGCAATCCACAATGCCTTGCTTCTTCGCTTACCATCTCCAGGCTCTCTTCGTTTAGTCCATTTATCGGACCGAGCGGCCTGACCACCGAAACCCTTGGCTCTCCGTCCTGCTCTTTCAAAGGATTTGCATACCTACGGAGATTCTCCTCGTTTTGGAGATTGTTTGACTTTTCGTCGAGATCGCTGCGGTGCCTGTGCAATGACGTCTCGCTACTCGTCGCCGCTGTAAGTCCCGCGCCTTGTCTCATCGACCTTATATACCAGAGACCGACAAGCGCGGCGAGCAGTAAAATCATGGCCAAAACAACCCCTAGCGCAGCAAGGTATCCAGCGTTGTTGGACGCGGAGCTGGGGTCGCTACTCAGCAGAGCAGTTTCAACCTTGACTTCGAGCACCGAAGCCAAAGCGACCGGCCGTCCAAGCGGTCTACTGAGTGCTTCGCCGAGATCACGAGCTGCGGCTGAAGCGGCCTCTGAGAATATCGTTACTTCTACGGTGTCGTTATCTCCGGGTTTAATATCGCACAGCAGCACGACGGACTGTGGCCTTCTCGGATCGGCCAGAAGCTTTCTTAGCTTGCGGCAGAGGAGTTCCACCGATGTACCGGGCGTAAGTGAGTCACGCCTCAGAAGTATACTGAGCCGCGAGCAATCAGGTCCTGGTGTAGCTTGTCCAGGCCAGCACGAAGGTGGTGCGGGCAAGGCTGGCGGCCCTACCCTCCTTCCGCTCTCAACGGGGCGGCATTCGCCCCAAGGAGCGCACGGTGGAACCAAACAACTCTCACCCGGAGAAGGCACGCAGACTTCATGAGCCAAACAGCTAGAGCCGTTTAGGCAATTGCCAGCTCCGCACCAGACGTTGCTGCACTGGCTCTTGGCGTTACGGCATTCGCACACGTTGCAGTCATCGTCCCAGCTGGCTGCTAAGCATCCGTGACCACTGGACAGGCGAATTTCGCATCTGGAACCCGTTCGACCGGGAGGACAGATACAACTGTAGCTAGCGATATCGTCGACGCACGTCGCTCCATGAGCGCAGGGATCGCTCGCGCACTCGTTGACGTTTATGCGACAGTCCGGGCCGGTGAAGCCGGGGGCGCACTCGCATCGGAACCAGTTAACTCCGTCGACGCAGCGACCGCCATTGAGGCAAGGCAGAGTCTGGCAGTCGTCGACGTCGCGTCGGCAGTTGGCACCCTCGAAGCCCTCGCGACAGATGCAGCGATAGCCACCGTCGGCGCTATTGACGCAGGTCGCTCCGTTCTCGCAAGGACTCGAAGCGCAGGCCGGCGATGCGATGTGACAAGCAGCTCCTTCCCAGCCAGGCTCGCAATGACAAGAGAAACCATCGCCTCGGTCCTGGCAAATACCGTGACGACAGGCGCTGGGTTCGCAGTGGGTTCCTCGCATTGCGCAGGTCTTACCTTTCCAACCATTGCGACAAATACATGTAAAGTCAGCTACGCCATCGACACAAGTTCCATTGTTGCGGCAAGGTGAGTCCAGACACTCGTCCACGTCTTTAAAATTAAGATAATTTTTTGTTAGCCATTTATTCAACTTGTTGCCATAGTACATTATATAATGCAAAATTTGACATACCTTGATCGCAGAGATCACCGGTCCAACCTTCTCGACATATGCACTGGAACGAATTGACGAGATCGACGCAAGTACCACCATTACGGCAAGGATTGCCACCGCAATCGTTGATGTTCTCGTGGCAGTGGACACCCTGGTATCCGGCGTCACAGATACATTTGCCGTCGCGACACCTGCCTCGACCTCCGCAAGGCAGCTCCTCGCTACCGCAGCCCAAGCTGTCGTCGACGAGGCCCCAGAGCGGATTGTGCGCGGCTGGCTCGGAGCAGTTCTTGCCCTGCCAGTTGGACGTGCAGTGGCAATAATAATCCGTCTGGGTGTTGAAGCATTGGGCGGAGTTGCGGCACGGATTGGGGAGACAGTGATCGCGATCGATCTCGCACTGAGCGCCCGTGTAGCCGACCGGGCAGACGCACTCGTAACGATTGACGAGATTTCGGCACTCGCCGCCATTGAGGCAGGGCTTGGAGGCGCACTCGTCGATGTCGATCTCGCAGTCCTTGCCCGTGTAACCAGCCATGCAGGAGCAGTGGTAGTCGTTGACCAGATCGATGCAGAGTGCCCCGTGCTGGCATTGGCCTACGCAGTCGTCGATGTTCTTGGTGCAGTTCTTACCCGTGAAGCCGCTGCGGCACTTGCACCTGCAAGTGAGAGAGACAAAATTGTCAACCATTCCGCTCAACGGTAAAAAGTATTCTTATACACATGTGATTCGAAGGAGTGAATGAAAAAAGGAGTACGTCTCGACTGAGTATTTTTGTGGTGACGTTTGGTCATCCGAACGAATTCATATGCAATTCATATGAGCGCACATCTTCCGCATAAATAAATGTAAATAAACATGCATAAATAAATATTGCCCGATAGTAAAAAAAATAACAACGGCAGAGACGATGACGATTGTAAAAAAAAATTACTACTTAACGCGCATCAAGAGGTGCGGTAGCACCTAGCCGGCAAAGTATAAAAAAAAATTATAAAAAATTATTTTAAAAAAAATTTATTTAAAAAGAAAAAATTAGTTAGAATTTGAAAAAAAAAATGTTGAAAAAAAAATTTTTATATTGAAAAAACAATTTTCAAAAAAAAATGTTTGCGCAAAAAATTATTTATTTATACAAAAATATCTCATACACTTTTATCGGCGAGACGATTATCTCGTAGTCACGTAAAATATCTTTTTGTTAATTAAATTGTTACGATTAATTGTTACGGGTGTTTGCGTATGTGCATGGATAATTCTATTTTGTATGTATGACTGGCAATGAGCCTCGTTGGCATGAATTCGGTCACGTACCGGCAGACGCGCACCACGGGACTGACTAATTCAAGGCTCATTAGCGCAGGCAGATCTTTCGGCGTGGCCAGCTGCCCAAGCAGTGGACATTCGCACACGGTCACAAGTTTATCGCTCGAGGGACTGTAAAATGTTGGCTAAACTTACGTGTAGTCGCCGGCGTGATTGTAGCAGGTTATGGAGTTCTTGCAGGGCGGCTCCTTGAGCGCGCATTCGTCAACGTCGAACTGGCAAGTGGTGCCCTGCCAAGCGGCCGGACAGAGGCAGCTGAAGCCGTTGACGCCGTCGACGCAGGTGCCGCCGTTGAGACAGGGCTGCGAGGCGCACTCGTCGATGTCGGTGGCGCAGGTCGGGCCCGCGAAGCCCTCCGTGCAGTTGCAGACTGCCTGCTCGCCGACCTCCGTGCAGTTGGCCCCGTTGAGGCAGGGATTCGAGGCGCACGGGTTGTCGACCTTCTCGCAGGTGGGCCCGGAGAAGCCCTCGGGACAGGTGCAGCGGTACTGGTCCGGCGCCGTGTTCTCGCAAGTGCCTCCGTTCTGGCAGGGCTCGTGCGTGCCGCAGTAGTTGAGATCCTGGTCGCAGAGGATGCCGCCCCAGTTGGTGTCGCAGATGCACTGCCAGCTCGAGCCGTTGCAGTAGCCGTGCTTGCAGCCCGGGTAGGGCGTGCACTGGTCGCAGAGCTCGCCCCGCCAGCCGTGCCGGCACTTGCACTCGCCGGACACGTTGCAGTGGCCGTGGACTGGATGACAACCTTCCTTGCATACCGCTGTAAACCAAACGAATCGTTACATTGATTAATCACTATTTACACAGTTGTCATCACTTGTCACTTATTTTTGAATGTACATTGATATTACTCAAGCAATTTGTAAATAAAACAGTCGAAAAGAATCAAAACAGTATCGTAAACAATATGAAAACTGATAGGACATCGTTCGATTTTCGAACGTTACAAAAACTACCCAAATCACAAAGGTTATGTATAAGCTTAGAGTATAGGGTCTCTATTCGTTCGATTGCAGTATCGACGTTCAACGGCTTGTCCGAGACGCGTTTATCTGTCTGTTGCCCACCAATTTTACTTTACTTCCGAGTTCCGAGTATTCGATTGTTCAAATCGCAAACGGTCGAAGCTATCTCGGTCGAAGCGTTGTCTCGGCAGTCGCAGCCTGAGAGGTAGAGGGGGAGCTGCAGCGCAACGTCGCTCGAGTTTTTCGGTGGTCAGATTCAACCGTCTTCTCGATTCGTTTATCAGTTAGCGCATCGAAGACTTTTTTCAGCTCGCGCATTTAGTTTTTTTATTGAAACTAGTTTAGTGCAGTGTTTGTGAAGTGTAGTATAATTAGAGCTAGGGTAATTTCAAATAATAAACGGTTTTTGTTAGTTCGAAAGTGTTCGTTAAGTGTTATACGTTGGATGAATATGCGTGCAACTTTTCGGAGCAACCTAAGGCGTTGCTTGCCGTTTTGGCGCCTTTTCCAGCGACGCCCGCACCCTTGATTTTATTCGTGAGTGAATTTTTATCAAGTTTATAAATATATGAAGCAATTATAGTCTCATGAATCTATCGGATACATTTGATTCTCGGAAAATGATTTCTACGCTGCGGTTCATTGCACAGCTATCTCAAGTACCGCATGATTATTTTTTGCTCGGACACTCGACAACTCGCGTTCGAGTATGCGAGCGGTTACGATGTTTTTTCTCAACATAGCATCTTTTTGAGATGCGATTGCAAATCTCGTTACGCGTACTTGAGAGAAAAATCGATGCTTCGAATGTAGATCGACGACGATCCGTGCGATTCTCTATTCGCGACTATATATTTGTGGAAATGTATTTTTGCATCGAGCGCGGAAAAAAATAGCTGGACTCGCGCGAGGAGACATCCCATGCTGGGTACGTGCTGCAGGTAGACAGACTCGTGCAGATACCTATTACATTATATAGCGAGTCGAGTAATTCAATAGCGGCTCGGACGCACTGCCCATATAGTTACACAATACAATCTGTTGCAAGTAAACGCGTACGCGTATGTAAGTATACACACCGTAGCATGTATAATACACGTATGCGACATGGCTACATGGCACCTTGTCGCTCTCGCGCGCTTCAGCCAGAGCATATCGAGTTACCGTCCTGAGCCATTTTTCGTCCTCCGTCTTGGCTTTATAGTAAACCTCGTGTGTGTGTGTGTGCATGTGCATAGGCTTCTATGCTGTACGACGAGACTCGGCTCGTTCTTGATAACGTCGTAATTGTACGGTGTAATTTTCTTATAATTATTATTTACCATTGCGAAGCAATTAACTTGCTCCTTGAATTTCTCCGACGCGCTTGGACAATGATCGTGCCGCGCGTAATGTATACACACACACACAGAGGCGTCCACCTTTATCATCCAGAAGAATTCTATTAACGAGTTGGAAATTACGGATAGTTTCGCGATGCGTGTGTGTGCCTAAGACGCGCGCACGATACTCATTGGAGGAATGAGATAGTAGAGAAGAGATTCCGATATATCAGGGATTTGCGATGAGTATCAGCTCTCCGACATGGAAAAAGCACGCGGCTAGCGAGACACGCGTCTTATCGCGCGCCTGTACAGATATTTATGCTAAAAGACTAGAATGCGAGGACGCATCCTCGTTCCACGTCCTTGTCATCGAGAGTCGTGTACGAGTACCTATAATAGTTGTTTTGCCGCGCACCTCCTTGAGATGTATATATATTCCAAGGAGCTGCTGCGTCGCCACCGAGACGAACGAGAAGCTGCGACGCGGTGCACGAGCGAGATCGCTCTATTAACGTCCATCAGGCGCGGTCCGAAAACAGCGAGGGTGTGCTAATTAACGTCTAAACCTCGCGTGGCCGTACACATAACGGCGAGGCTTCGCTGCCACGGCAGTATACTACCTACTATATACTAAACTCGCTGCACATTATGCGAAAAGTTCCTTAATATATCGACGCGAAGCCCGGCAGTAGCAACAGCAGCGGCAGCAGCGGCTACGTTGGCGCGGTGAAACAAAATCTACTCGGCAGTGTAAGGCGCGCTCGCAGATATACACGTCCGTGCTGTTTCGAGCGTAGGTAAGGACGCTTGATTTGCGAGTATACGTAAGCCAACTCGCGCGCGCGTGTTTATAAAGGAAAAGGAGCGCTCGCGCATATACCGTTACGTTATATACACTTAGGCTGGCGACTGCACGTGTCATGGGCCTCTTTTTTGATTAATAGCCACTCGCGTGACTCGGACATCCCTCGGACGCGCGAGCATGCGACGTCCCGTCGTCTCGTATCTTCTAAATATGTCTGTTCGCGCGCGCGCTCGCGCCTCTATTACATTTGCGTATATATCCGCGAACTCCCGAGTAGTATCGAGTACTGCGGTAAGCCCCCCGTACGCGTTTGCAGCTATTTTTACACCGCGTGCACTCAACAGCGAGCAGGATCGTTTTATTGTTATTTTTTTTCGTATACGAAATAACTACGGGATAGACAAGCGGGAGACGCTCGATGCGAATTAAACAATCGAACCCCGGGACTACGAGGAAGCACACATATGAATGCTACATAATACAATTGTGAACTTGCGCAATCGTCTCGCTAGCTCAAAAGTATCTTCCTGTATTCTCACACGTTTATGAATATGAGAGTGTGCAGTGTGCACTGTATATATACGTTTATGTTTGTGTATATCTAATGCGCCGAAAGAAGAAAGTTTTCTCTCGGTTGCTCGCGAAAGTGGCATCACATAACGTGTGCATATATACACATCTAACGTTTTCTGCGCCTCTTACCAGCGCGAGTTGGATGTCTCGAGCGCTCGAACCTCGTTTTATTCGATAGAAAGGGCAAACGGCACACTGCCAAGTCTCGGGCTCTATACGTCGGCGCTCGAAATCACGAGTTTTTGCTGCCAACGTACAGCGATCGCGCGTACAATCACCGAGTGCAGCAGAGGTCATCGCGCTACTCAAAATCGCTCGTCTGTAAATGGTAAATACTTTTTTCTAATGAAAAAGAATCGAGGCAAAAAGAGGCACACGTCGGGACGGTCGAAACAATGCAATTTTCTCTCCAGTCGGTCGTGAAATGTTGCCTCGATAAAATATATGTGTAGCATCTGGTTGGCGGCAGTAGGGCTCGCGAGCGGAGGCATCGATGAGATTGGCTCTCACTCTTTGTAGGCTGATGCGGCGGCACCAGCAGCAGCAGCATCGCACACTTTTACACTTGCTCACCTATGCACGGACGAACTATGCAGTGCCGGAGCGAGGACGAGAGGGAGAGAGAGAGTTACTTGTGCCGCTGCAAGGAGCTTCGCGAAAGATCACACTCGGATACTTTCTTCCGTGCTATATACTGCGTATAGACACATAAACGAGAAATTGACTGGTGTGAGTGTGTACGTATTGGTTCGAGTCCCATATGAGTATACAGCAGTGCGTCGAGTGATTGCTATTTTCCTATTCTCGCGGTCTGCGGTTCACCTATCCCGACACTGTCAGCATGCGTAATGTACCAACGATGATGAGCCTGCATTTTCCTCCGCACATCTCGCACGTATAATGCATTAAGTACGCATACAGCCGCTCGATACGTGGTAGAATCTATGAAGATCGATTGATTAGATTGTTCGTTGTGAATTGTTGTAGATTCGAGTGTATACAGCTGATTTCATTACATCGCTTCTTTCATCTTTAATGGCTTCGGATAATGCTCAACCGACGTATTATAATATGCGTATATTTCCATTCACAGTTTACTTAGTCGTCGTGGCTGGATTGTGTTTTACCGACTTTGCTTCGATTGTTAAATATTTATAAGAGAAAAACACATTTCTTACCGCTAGGTAAGAAAAAGTGCCAACACGAATGCACGAATACCTCACCGCGAGCTATGGCTGGTGTTCACACTGTTCACACTGTTCACGCGCGAGTATGTTAAATGTATAATATATTTATACAAGCTGACGATTGAGAAAAAAAAGTTACCGCTCAAATAGAAAATTAAAATTAAACACGTGCATAAAATGTATAACGAACTTACGTAAATGCACTTAAAGTCGCGGGGCCGACGCGCGCCGCGAGGAAAATTCAACCGCACAAGCTCGAGCGAGAACACGCGCGCCCGTGTATTCCCCTGATTTAGCCGAGTAATTAGAAATTATATATTTCGCAGAGTTATCATTCGGCGCGTATAAATGAGCATTCCATTCGCACCGTCGAGCCTGACCATATTCATATCTCGAACAATTTTTTACGCGCCTTTATCGTTTTTCTTTTTTTCTTTTTTTTTACTCCGATTCTTTTATAAGTCACGAGCTTTTCGATTGCATTTATATTCCCCAACATTTTCGTTTGAAATTCTGACACCGAGCGTTAATATATATTCGAAAAAAACTATCCGTGACTGCAGCAGCTTAAGATTAATAACATATCAGCGGTAGTATTTATAGCCGCGCGCTGTAGTATATATATCGGTGCACACTCGTTGCACTCGGTTGATTTCTCTTTCTCGCGAGTATACCACTGCCAGCATACTTCACCCATACTCTTCCCTTGCGCCTTTCCGTTTATTGGTTACGCAAATATCGCTCGTCAAAATTCCATTGTACTCTCAGCGGGTATATCGGCAGCAGCAAGATGGGGTCATCTTCGCTTCCATAATCGTATAGCCTTCATAATCACGTATAACAGCCTCCGAGTCAGCTCGACGGTGTGAGAGCGAGAGAGAAAAGTCGATCGTTTATAAGCCGAGGCGCGCGAGATTCTTCTTTTCCAAGAGGTGCAGTTTATCATGGTACTTCAGAGACGAGCTCGCTTGCTCGTAGAAAATCTTCGCAGTCAACAAATTGACCGTGCAATATTATGAACGCGCCACCGATTGTCTGGCATTCTTCCATGATAATTCCTTGTCCTAATTTTTTCCCTCCAATTTTTTTATTTGAAAACTGCTGAAAAGTTTCTCGAAGGAGTCGTCACGCAAGTACTACGTTGTGTGTGCATGCACTGTACAATGTTTATTAATGAATTTAATCAATGTTAAGATTTGCACCTTTTTTCACATATTTTTACACAAATTCAAAGTATGCGCGCTTTCACTGATGCGTCGCAAAATTAGTTCGTCAACGTGTAATTCCATTAATTTAATTTAATTAATCATTTTCTTTCTCATACGTTTGTATATTTCCAATCACGAGTTCATCGTTCAATAGTTGATGTTTTACGTTTCAACTAATTTTCTCATAAGAACGAGACAAGTGTCGATTGGCACTGATATAAGTTAGTAAGCAGAAATCGAAAAGTTGGCGGAGAAATCGCGAGTTATACCTATTGACCTTTCAATGGCAGCGCATCGTGCCGAGGCACGTAAAAGTTTCATCGCCAGTTTTGCTGCATAAAGTGCTGTTCTCTTCCGATGTCTATACCTGTATCGATACACGCTCAAGATTTATAAATTTACGAAGAAACGTCTATTTCCCTCGGGAAGAAGCTAACTCGTCCTTAGATTGGTATTTTCACCGATCCAAGTGATGGTACTTTAATGTACATTTTTTTTTTATTTCGTTTTTACGAGAGAAGCTCATTAATTAATTAATTGAATCGTAGATAGCTGAGAAGAAAATTTAATAGCTACGTAAGCAAATATTCAATTTATAGGACAGTGTGTTTAACACAGTTGCGGCGGCATGTATAGTGACAAACATATCGATTGTTTTACGAGCTTTCACAATAAGAATTTCTATTTCTCGATGTAACATGTTTAAATACGACGTGTAGCACAAAATATGCATTTGGCACCACTTTGATTTCATCAGGTGTTTTTTTGTCGCACGTATGTATCGAAGAATTAACGTAAAACGCGAATTAGATATAAATATTACGACGAGGCTCGGCAAAAAGCCAACATACCGGTATTTCTCTTGCGATGTATGAACAAACGAAACTCGATTCGTATACAGTACCTTTCTTTTAACATTTGCAATCTTTAATTCATTTATAAATTAATAATGATACGAGCGGCAAAAAAACAATATTGCCTCGACTTTTTACGCGAGTGCTCGCGTGGAATAATTATTAGAAAAAAATGAGTTAACGAGACCGCATAAGCATGTGCGCTGCGCAAGACACGCGCGAAAGTATACACTACGAAGCTGCTGGTGTGTCTATATAGCGAGGCGCGCGCGAAAGTGGAATGAGAAATTTGTTATTTTATTAGCCGCGCATGAATCATCTCCGCGCGCATGATGGCTACGTCATCGTCAAACGATCAAGTCTCGGCTTGCACATGTACAAGTGTCGAGATCGCAGACGAAAGAAAAGAGGTGCTCTTTAATAGCCGCGATTGCCGAGAGACGGATGTTATGTACCCCACTTACATCATTCGCCGCTACAACGCGATCGGTGCATCTTTCGCTCGTCGCGCGCGCGCGCGAGCTCTCGCTCAAGGGCCATATTATAGGCAAATCATGTCTCTTTCCACGATAGACTAGCTCACGATGTTTCGCCATTTTACGTGATTGCTTTTTTTCTTTCTCTCTCTCTCTCTCTCTCCATCCTCTATTAAAAATGTCACGAAAACCTATATACGACGATGTGAATATAACATTGATGATGAAATTAGTTTACTGCGGTTGCGGATAACGATAAAACAGGTCTCTCACACGTAGCACATGCTAAATGTTGCAGAAAATTTTATTACCCAAACGGTAAGGAGCGCATGTGTTGCCTAGGCGCAAAACCACATACTGGCACACATTTAATAAATACATTCTGCCCGAGGCTGCGCGCGCCCATCCATCAGCGATAAAAACAAATTCGCTTCAATTGCCACTTGGCCATTGTGCACACATGCCTCGTCGGCAACAAAATATTTGCTCGTAGTTCAGAACTTAATCGGTGAAAATCTATTATCTATCGTTTTTCTCTATTCAAATAGGTTTAGTAATAATTAGTTCAATTTGCGTACTTAATTTAAATCACCTCGAATAAATTACCTCAATCGCAGTGAAAAAACTACACGGAAAGGATGATAATAAACCTGCAAGAATTTTTCTCTCCACAATCGGATACGTTTCTCTCGCTTAATTACGATAAATTTGTGCAATTCCAGAGCTGCTCCTGTGTACAGACACTCGTCGGCTGCATCTCATCGATACACTTTTCGTATATAAGCGCGTGCACCGTATGCACGCATGCATAATGTCTTACTCCTTGGGTGGAAGCTTTTTTTTGCTCCACACACACACACACACACACACACATACGCGTTACACGTTCGTAAATCGATGCGGCGGTGTGTACGTGAATGCAGCTCATTAGGATGCGGCAGTGCGTTAATCACTGACAAAATAAGAAGCCCGCGCGCGTGTGTGTGTATGTAGCTCGTTGGAGGCGCGATGAAAGTCTCTCTCGCTCGCGCTCGCAGTAACACACCTTTCGTCGATCATTTATATACGCACACGCGAACGCGCGCGCGAGGTAAAAGAGAATATACTGCCATTAACTGCGCCAGTCTTAGGTATGCATATAATGTAATGTACGTAGGAAGCGCTTGAGTGGAAGCTCGGGGATTTTTTTCGAACGTCTCCGGTAAAACTCGGCATTGTATAAAGTAATGGGCAAGTGCTCGCAAGCGCGAGAAAGAGAAAAATATTGTACAGTTAATCGGGCGTGCAATAAAATCGGCCAAGGGGTCTTGATCCCGAGACTACGTATATACTCTACGAATGCACCGCGAGGCTAGCCGACGAGGAGCTAGGTTAAAACGGTGCATTCTCGTAAAATTGAAAATATGAAAGTATTTTTCCGAGTTCGATATGTATTTTACAGTCGCGCGATAAGAGATTGCGTGAATCATAGAGAAGGGCCGGGAAATATCAACTTTATTGCCGCGTTTATGGAGTATCAATTCCGAAACTATGGGCGCGTGCGGAGCTTTATCGTTTTGAGATTATTCCACCGCGCCGCCACCGTCGACGCTTTACACTATGTGTAAGTACAGAAAAGTCAGAAAAACGTATTATACTGCTAATTTTAATGCGTCGAGATAAAATCGCTACAACAATCTCTACGGCGCGCATACACACTAGATACACGTATGTATGCCGAGGAGGTAAACGATTACACATATAACCGAGTGCGTGTAATATGTGATCGTATAGCGGCATCGAATGAAATTGCTGTTAAATGATAAATTATCTAATAAATAAATTTTACATAATTCGATACTCGCTTTGATTGTTGAGGATCAAATATGAATATAAAAATATTTATTTTTACTCTACACTTTCGATAACTAGGTTAACTTTAAGAAAAATTAACTAAATTTGTACTATTACACTAACTAAAAGCTGCGAATACCCATAAGCATAACAAATACAAGTGTATATGATATCAATTACATAAAAGACGGCTACGAAACGTTATATCGCATAGAAAGCGAGCAAGAAATAGCCATGTATACATGGCATGCATATATAGAATGGCGATACCATATACATCTGAGAAAATGTAGAAGCTCGTAAAATATACGTATGTATAGGTACGCGTGTACGCGCGAGAGGCAGCAGCAAGTACAAGTGCGTATACGCGCGCGGCTCGGGATCTTAATATATCGGTCGAAGCTCGCAAAAATTGTTGGACTCACGCGGCGCACAAGTCATTTACGGCCACCGTAGGATATTGGGAATTAATCATCGAAAGTCCGGAGCTGCTACAAAAATTCAATCCCATTTGGCGGAGATGCTGCTCTGCGGCAGGATCGCTGCGCGGCCGTGGCACATCGAAGCCGCTCCTTCGCGTCTTATTGTGGCATTTTTTGTCGACAGCTCTCGCGCGCGCGCAAGAGAGAGAAAGAGAGAGAGAAAGAAGAAGAAATTTACGAAGCTCGGACGCCAAAGATTAAAAGTCACGTAAACGGGGTGCACTCTAGTATGAAATAATTCACAGCGACAGGTCCGATTAGATATATACGTTGAATATAATAACACTTTCTGATCTGCGTAGGAAGACAGCGACGACGAAGGCTACTACTACTTGAAAGGCTCGCAGGATGCGCTTCTCTTTTTATTTCTTTGTCAGAGTGTACCATCGCGCATATCATATCGTAGCGTGAGAAATTTTTTTGCGTATTATACGTAGTAATCGCGATATATGCTGCTGCTCCCGTGTTGTATTGTGATTATTATTAAGCATTTATAAATAGATATTGCGCCGTGTTTTATAAACACGTGCGATATGTATGCATACTTTGTTCTCTCGATGTATCTGTATAAATCTCACTCCTGACCTAACTGTCAATCAAAGACTCAGATGTACGAGTAGAGTTTTTATAGGTTTTACTCGAGCGACGGCGGAAGTCAATTATAAAAATGTTTGAAAGACAAGTTTCGACACAGGAATCGAATTGACTTACGTAAGAATATACGTGCCCATACAAGCAGTAAAATAAAAGCGAGGATGAATTCTCAGATTATGCATTTCTGAATTCCTTGAAAGCCAGCGAGTTTTTTTAGATTAAAAAGGGGGGAAAAGACGATGGCTTACCAGTTTCGCAATCGGCTCCTTTCCAGCCTTGAATGCAGACCTTGTCGCCGTTAGCGTCGCACGTGTAGTGGCCAAATATGTCGTCCCTCGGCCTACAGAATTTCGTGCACGTGGCGTTGTAGTAGTATTCGGTGCACTCCACCCTCACTCTGTACGCCAGATGAGCGTTTCGGCCTTGGTGATTTAGAGTGTGCCACGTAGGGCCGGGCAGCACGATACCGCTGTAGCTCGCCTCCTCGATTACTCCGTTGCTCTCCTCGTCCCTCGCCTGCAGGATCAGCGTGAACTGTCTCTGAAAATCAGGAAAAAGTCGCTCGTTAATACCCAATTTTTTTTTCATTCAGTAGTCATAGCCTTCTATGGTCAGGCGAGTATCAGTACATTTAAACCGATGTACACGAAGTCAAGTATCGATAGTATAGCTCTGCCGCGACATATATAAAAATAAACTCGGTCTCATGGCACGATACGATGATATAAGATTGCAAAAACGCAACTCGACATACATACTCTCGAGTCTGCGTCGGAATGGCACAGTCGAGAGTTCGTCAGTGGCAGGAGAGATTAACGATTTTTTTTTTGGATCGCAGACGGCGACGACAATGAGCGCCTAAGCTTTGGAAAAAATGGGTTAATATATATATCGAGAACATCATTACCCGAGCTGTCGTTGGGATTATTACGAACGTTAGCGATGCGTGCAAATTTCAAAGAACACCCCGTCGGCGGAGGAAGAGGGATAGAGAGAAAAAATCGTTCTCTTGTGCGGTACGTGTGCTTGCGAGTCGATTTCAACGTCGATCAAATACGATATTGAAAGACCGATCAATCTTGTATCGTCTCTTTCCTTCTCACGCTCTATCCAGATCGAGTATTTTCTCTTTAATGCCGCGCACTTTACTTTCATAAATCATTCGCGTCTTGATATTTTGCACACACACACACACACACACACATGTACGCATACGCTTCAAACTCAATAATTTTTTTCTATATACGTATGATTCCCGCACGCGCTTGTATACGTTTTGATTTTTTGCATTGATTCTCTATATGTGTATTGAATTTTAGCGAATGATAAATGAATAGTAGCGATAAACTTTTATCCATCGGCAATCGATTCATTGGATCGCTATTCTCGCGCAACAAATGAAAATTCAATCGGGCGAGGGAATTAGTTGAAAAAAGTCATTATAATATACAGCAAGTTTCATTATAAAATCTCTAGTAGGTGGTACGTACACGTGTAATGTACGATACGCGCCACACACGACTGTATCGAGGCGCAGTACTGATTAGAGCTGCACCAACAGACAAATAAACTCGTAAATATTATGAAGCATCGCGCCGAGTAGTACTTATTTTATCAGCCGCGTGTTCGATATTACAGGGTAGACCGTTAAAGGCCGCAGCTCTCGAGAGATTATCCATTCTATTTGCAGCAGCCTATGCCGAGGCTTTCAAGTGGCACTATATGACGCACTTATTTGGTCAGCAGCAGCAGCTCCTCTTTCCACATTTTTTTACCCATTCATCACATTTATTACTCGTGTGCGTAAGCTTTCTGTGCGCTCATTTTGTCAATAATTAAACGACAGTCCGAAAGAGAGAGAGAGAGAGAGAAAGACACAGAGAGAACCCGTGTAATGTGTGTGTTTATCGACGCTAATTCGAAAATTAATGGTCTATTTATCGAAGCGTTTGGAATGATTTGTCGAACGACATCTTATAATCATGCACGCCGATATACGGGTTTATCTTAGTGTCTTACCTTAATCGGTACACGTAATTGCTGCACTATTTTCCAAAGATGTATAAATACTCGTTAGCTCATGTTATTATAAAAACTATTAGGAGCTTATCGATAAAATCTTTTTTCTCTTTGACAAAAACAAACAAACTTAACGTTGATACTCGTCGAAATCAATGTAATATATTTAGACATTTAGAGATGAGAACCGGATCACATACGAAAATTAAAATTGTACATGAGTTTTTGTGTACCAAAGTAAATCTCAAGAGCTTTATACGATAAAAACGCAGGGTGTATTTAGATATTGAACTTTGATAAAAATAAAAGATTTCGAAAACTTTTATAGGACAATTATTTTTAAAATACCGGCGTACATGGAGACTATGACACGATATGCAATTTAGGCGCCACCACACCTATTAAGACTATCTTTTCGCAGAAAGGCAACAAATTATCCAGAGGCGGGTGAAAAAATAACGCCTACTTTTAAAAATATCTTATATTCATAAGTTGTAAAAACTTATTCACGCAGAGCACATAGCAAGAGCTGGAAAAAAGAATGAGTTGCCAGAGAAAATGAAGCAACGTCGAGCGAGCGCGTAATACGGGACTTTTATACGCAGTCTCTATCCCATGACTGAAAAAAGTGTAAGCAATATTGCATGTGAGAGAGGAAAGGGAGGGGGGACATGGAGACAAGAGCAGCATTGTCAACGACGCAGTACGGGACAATGACACAAAGAAGTCGCGCGATATAAGTCGGCGAAAATCTCTCTCGTGCGTACACGCGCAGGAAGTCGCGAAATCCGATTCGCGTTATCGGGCCAGAAACCGCATAGCTCAACTACTGGGCACCGTCATAGCAGCAGTAGAGTAGTACAAAGCCCGGGCCTGTACACCGTCAGTGCAGTGCACTTGGCGAGTAAGCAAATTATCGAGTCTGCACGCAGAATAGCAGGTCAGATGAAAGTTAATTGGTGTTAATTGGCGCCCCCTTAGGTAGAGACTCGGCGCGCTGTGACCCCACTATACTATATGTCAGCCTGTCTCCGACGCGAGCTGTTCTCACGGCAGTCGCGCTTCTGACACAGCGCGCCGCGATAAATCGACTTTTCACGCGGCTCTTTTCCGTATGCAAATGTGCAACACCTACGACGTTTCGGAATCACGGATTCCTAGACAACTATAGGCTCTTTCGTCAAGGCGCTCGGACGATTGTTTTACGTGAACGCTTTGGAAATATTTCATCGCGAGTTCGTTGATATCCATAAGATGCGTTCGTAGTTATTTTGGTTGACGTGAGTTCTCGTGTTTATTGACGACGTTCTTTATATGGCTTAACGATCGAGAAACTGTGAAAATTCTCGGGTCAACTTGCACGATTAATCACGAGACCGCTCGAATATTGCGTAGTGATGCATGTCGGCCACACGAACTCGGACCTAAGAAACATTTTATCTTGACCGTGAACTTAATTACGCGGCTGCATGCGTTTAATTGTGTCCTATGTACCAAGAATTGACGCTCAAGTCGGGAATGCCAAAGTACTCGCGTCATCCCATCTGTCCCTCTCTTTCCTTCTCGAACTGCATCTGTATTCACTTGAAACGATTCCGCACGCTTTATTTCTCTGGTCGAGCAAAGAAAACCGTAGGAAACAAATGAAACGACACGGCGAGTATGAATATTGTAATTACATTCGCGTATTACGGAATCGTTTCAAGCCCTCAGCGCGACTTTTCACACGTGCGCTCGGGCTCCAATCAAGCGAGAGCAATCGAGCGCGTGAAAATATGCTAAGACGTTACAAGTGTCTACGAACGGTAGTGTGTTGCTCTCGAGTGTCATCGAGCTGAAACACTGCTTGACGTACGAGTACTTTTGTCATTTTTTGACTTCACCTAAATCGCTCAATTAAAATCTTCGTGACGTTACCATTCTCGCGAATTCAGCGCATATGTCGTAGCTGCGAACGTTACACGTTACATGTACGGTGTCTCATGTACTCGTTAAATGCCGGGTAAAACTCGCATCACTTTACTTTTCTCTGAAATCGTCAAGTCATTTCATTTAACGAAAATTGAATTGTCATCGCTTGTCGTGGACCTTTTTACGCGCGAGCATATTGTCGATTTGTGAATTATTTATGTATTCGTTAATTTAGGCGTCGGAGATTTAACGCTAATATCGAATACGTTTTCTCTCGAGCGGATCAATTGCTTCGTTATCCCGAGCTCCGGGAGCTGGTGTTTTCGCTTTGTGTCGCTTTTCCAATTTACAAGAAACAACGCAACACTCGTACTCGCCGTAAGCACAACGACAGTCAATTTCCCTATAAAAATATCCTTCAGCACTGTAATATGCGTATGTAATCTTGCGTGGCACGCCGGTGCAGCTGATACAATATTTCTAAATTAAATCGCAAGACCACTTCCATAAATCGCCCAGACAATTAGATTATCCGCGTGTGCACATTAGCCAATAATCATCAATCACGTCACGCGCGCGGCTCGGCATGTGTATTTCGATTCGATAAAAAGAATGTGCCATTATATACGCGGCACGCAATAATAATACGAATAACTCGTACGGATAAGGAGCGCAGCGTCGAGCTCTTCAATTTGATTTTCGAGTATACAAAGGAGAGAGGGGGACGAGAGGCAGAGAGATTACCCAGACGCTGGCGTACACGAACACACACGTATTCGAGTGTCGGTTTGGAATTCGCGTATAGGTACGCGCCGATGAATCTACGAATAGTTCAAGCTTTTTATTAAAATACGCACACACAAAGCTATTATATAAATTATTCACCGAGCGCGAGCTTGGGAACGTCCTCGATCTGCTTTAAATACTCGAGCTCAAAAATTTGAGGCTCGATTTATATAATGATCGCAATAAACAAAATGATGATGCGAAAAGCCCATACACGATAACGGACTTGGCGCGCGGGCCCCGAGTGCCTCGCAAATGAAGTGCGAATTGCGCGCGTGTCTGCCGTTTATTTATAATATTAAACGTTCGAGTGATTTTTCGGAGAAGAAAATTCGTTATTCTGCACTTAGATCATATTTGAAAGTGCAATGGATGAGATGCTGCGGGGGCTCGCGCACGAGAGCTCTATGTATAGCTCTGCGCGCGTTCGTGCTGCAAGCTGCGCCGCGCAAATTCCGAGTAATAGCCATTGAAATTCTTTCTGAGTATTAATCATCACGTAACGGTATGATAGTACACGTTACATAGAGAGCCGGCAGAGATGATGAGAGAAACACATACATAATATAATCCAGCATTTATGACTTGGAAACTCGCGCATCCCCATCGATGTTGCGGAAATAAATAAGTAAAAGCTGCAAAATTCGCTGTCCTGGACGCGCAGCCGTACCGGCGACACACAAACAACGACTTTTCTCGAAATCACCTTGCGGGCTTGTCTCTTTCTCTCTCTTTCTCTTATCACGATTTCTAAAACGCACTGCACTGCTTGTTTGATCAAATACATACGTATAGGTATATATAGACAATATCTGTCTTCCCTA